AATATTGTTTTTTTTACAATTGGGAAATATCTAGTTTGATTCCGTTTGAGTTCTTTGTTGCTGGGGTAATGTAATATGTTTTGGAAATACTTTTTCTATGGTCCGTTGTGGCAACGCATTTGTGTTGTATATAACTTACGACAAATTTAAAATTTAAACTAGATATACGCGAGAAATAAATTCAGAAAATGTTCTAAAAGCGCGGATTATTTAGGTACTTTTAAATTTAGAACAGTTTAAAAATAACACTTTTCAATTTCATATTTTTGTTACTCCGTGATTTGAATATTATGCATCTGATATTTTTCATTCCTTAATTAAACGTTTTGCATTTAGTTGCCATAGTATGATTAAGTTTTTAAGTACTTTTACATTACTTGTCAGTAATTAAGATTGATGCCTCAAGAAGCAATGAAGTCAATAAAAAAAGGTTTTTTTTTATAGAAATCAATAAATTTTGCCTTGGGAAGTATCAATTGACATGTTTGTACATTATATTGGAAGGAATTGACACTTGGAAGACAGTAAAGGAATAACATGTATCGAATAATAGACGTCAAGTAGTAGTTTATAGACTTAACGTGTATTTGTTAGCCGATATTAATTGGGTTAGGCTATGCATTATACATTTGGGGCGGGCTGGAGTACTTCCATTCACTAAGAAATATCATGTACTGAGAATTCTTCTACTGGAAAATTATGAACTTGCTAAACATTTTTTTAAAGTGGTTATGTTATATTAAAGCAAAAGAATACCTGCATTATATAATGAAAACGGTTATGTTTAATTAAAACCAAGTATTAAAACATTGATTGTTTTGTCAGGACAACTATTGTAAAATAATTATGAAGCAATACATTTTAAGGTATATTATTTTATTTATTTAAGTTTCTTTGATATGCAATAAAAGTCTAGATCACATTTCAAAAACATGAGTAACTAGTTTTACTTCTAAAAATATACATAAGATTCTGAAACTACCCGCACGCCCCAAAAATAATAAACAGAGCCATAGACACATTCAGGATATCCAAAGAGGTGCAAACATGACATAAATACTTGCTCTCTAATAAATACATTCTAAAACGAATTTCATAGCTCGGACTAGACATTAAGCGGAACACATTCTTAACTTTTAACATTATTATATACAAATAAAATGACAACTTGTATTTTTGAAAAAGTAAAATTAATATACTTAATGCTCGCGTCGTCACCGTACCTTAATTTCTTTCCGATAATAAGCATGTCGTCTCTTTCAGTCGTGAAAGAACGAGACAGGGATGTTCGACTCTTCACCTTATTTTAGTTTTACATATAATTGATAGTTGTACATGTTTGTTAATTATATTATATGAAAATGATGTAAGACGATTTTTTTTAAAGAAATTTATTTGAAATAGAGATAATTAATAGAGTTTAATGAATAGAAAACAACAGGTATGAACAATTTATATTAAAAATCTTATGAAAAGTAGTTTAAAAAAGCAATGCGTCCAACATCAATTTTCATTGTTAATCAGGATTAGAATTGGGTAGTGCTTCCTTAGATCATCACTATTTGATTAGAGATGTTTCAAGATCTGTGTATCACTTTTTATCATTGCAATTCATTTCACTTAGAATTTTGAGTTCCTTTGTAATTTGATAATAATTAAAGAGGTCATTAACTCAAAAATTTTATCTAATTAATTATATGTGTTTAATACATCGTATTGTCTTAACTGCAACATTTAAGAAAATCGTAACACAGTATGGTCAGGATATGTAAGTCAATATGGCAGGCCAGGCCATTCTTTCTTTCTCCGTCTATCTATCCTGCTACCGTTATTAGAGCAAGACAGAGAGATGAAGATTGAAACATACAAAAATTATACATATTGCATATATCTCTTATATGGTTCCATATATGAGAAATAAAAAAAAATTGTTTGACAGCTTATTATGTTAGTTCTTTTTTTAAATTATTCACTACCCAATATTCATCCTACGCACACATGAAAAACAATAACAAATGTCTATAAAGTAAGTACTTGACTAGCAAGTAGGATAATATATTATATGTAACGCTAGGAATACGATACACAGTTATATAGTACATATGTTCAGTGTGAGGTGGCTATGTGCGTGGGTAGTAGTGGCCGGTGCGCGCCGGCAGTGGGGGCGGGGTGTCCTGTAATATAATGAATTATGTGATATAACCATTCACTATACTTATACACAGGGTGTAAGTTACAACAGGCAAACAGTTGATTTATTTTGAAAAATAAATAGATCAGAGTCGCCTATTCTGCCTCGAGAGCATCCCAATTAATAATATTATATATACTTAACAGAAGAATTTGTAATTATCTGTAAGCAACCATTTTTTGTGCTACATAGTCTATTTTTAAGCGACCCACCCTTAAAGCATTATCCTTGAACAAATTATATTTAACAAATAAAAAAACAAACCTCAGGCATTAATGCGTTTCAACACTAGGTGTCATATTCTGAAAAAAAAAGCAAATAGCAAACCATAGGAAAAAAAACGAAACGACTCAAAATAAAATAAAACATTCATATGTCATGCTATAAAATCTAATTTTAGCTTTAATTATATATTAAATTACTGGCAAAATAACTTTCCCAATCATTAAAGAAATAATTTGGTATGATAACAAATAAAACAAGAATTTTAACAAAAAAGGTAGTCGTAAGATTATCATAAAACGAAAGGAAAATAAAGTGCTGTGTCATTGACCTTGTGACTATTTTCAAAGAAAATTTGTGATTTCATAGCCAATACAAACCAACTAAAAATATTTAAATACATACATCTATAAAATAATATATAGTACAAGTATTTCATACGAAATAATCGCAAGAACCAGAGATACCATGTATAATTATGGGACTATATTACTTACTATGGTACTATAAAAGTTATTTAATGATACCCATATTATTAAATAACTTTTTAAGTACCTGAAATATAAATATTGTGGTATTATAAGCTACTAATAATAATAATAATAAAAATTATGGTTTTTGGTAAAAGTTATCTGTAATATAAATAGAGCGTAGTATAACATAATCTATGGTAATCTATGGTGAAATAATAGCAGTAGCTAGCGATGTCGTTTTATAATAATGAACTTTTTAGTGTGTGTGCGTGTGTGTATATAAGTTATAAAGATACCTGTACATTGGTGTCATGCAGATAGTGTCTAGGTGGCTGTGGTCTTGGCATCGGCTCGTCACTGTCATCATCCTCTTCGAAATCTGAAATAAATCCAATGTATCTTACAATATAATATTTAGCAATAAGATTTTAATGCTATTTTCACACAATTGGACTGTTTTTATAGGCTTGCCAATTATTTGTAATTTGTAACACGTGGAAGAAAAATAATATGTGCGAATCAATTGTGAAATCTAATTAAAAATATAAATTCACGCTGAAAATTTATTCAAAAACATCCATGCATTTTACTGATAAGCATAATCACAACAGTTGTAATAGTTCACAAGAGAGATTATAAAATTATTGTTATGTAATTGTTATTGAAGAAAACTCGTGTGTTTTTTTTTACAGATTTCTAAATGTGTTAGGATAGGTGATTCCTTAAGCTTATGATAAAAATAGAGTTCAATATCATCTATCTTCAATGGTAATAAAAGTAGTAACACGGTAGGTGGTACCGTTCTGTACGGTCGAACGGTCTTTAAACCCAACTACACTTCCCACACACATTTATTTTTTAGCCTGTGTATCTCCCTTTTGGTGGGTGCGACTTGCTCCATAGCTTCCATACAAGCTCTAAACGTTACTGTCGCACCTTATACGGTCACGGCGTACCTAAGCCTCTAACTATTTTTTTGTCGATAAATAGTCGTACTCACGACATACTTATTGCACGAAACACAAAACACACACAAAAGGTAGTTAGAGCTTGAGATATTGACTTTTCCGCCGAATGATGGTTATTTTATATCAATAATATTAGCGGTGCACAGGTGGTGAAATTAAAACACACAAAATGAAAACAATTAAACACATAAGTGCTACAAAGGGAGCCGAGCAGTGTCTAATACAACAAAAAGGTGCATAAAAGGGTGTCTATTTATGTGAAGTTCATGCCACTACGGATCATTGAGATATTACCTACTAGTACATTTTCGACACAGATTTCAATACAGTTTAAAATATATATTCCAGATTTCATTTTCTCATTTCATAATCAGAAAATCTAGTTTAATATACAAAGATATGAAAGATATACGAAAGATAGTTTTTTGATATTTTAACACAACAAAAACTCGTAAACTTTTTAAGTTTAGCTTGTTAATATTTGTTCAATTTGTTTTTTTTTTTAATTATAACACATTTACAAATGAGTGCGAAAACGTGTAGGTTTACGAGTTAGCGTAGTAAAGAGCTTTTTATACATTTTTTTATTACCTATTTCAGATTTTTTTTTTAATTTTCGGTGTAAAGAGAATACGAAATTCAAAATCTCAGATTCCATAGACACGGTAATATCCCTTTGTCCTACTGTTTGCGAACACCACTCTAGTACGTACCTCTTTGCTTGCGCGCTTCACCTTTTACCGTATCCTCGGTGTCGGAACCTTCTGCAAAACATTTATACTTGTAACATCTACTGGACATGTGCAGAAATATGAGTCACACTTTGACTAGATAATTCGTTAGAAGGTCGATTGCGATTGGTACGTCAATAAAATGGAGCTTTTTTTTAAAATCGATTGTTATAAGTGCCTTCTGCATTTCCAAGAATCTGTTGTTGCCTAGCATCTTGATCATACTGCATGGATTGAGTTGTCTCATAACAGAGTGACATTGCGTTCGTGACATTTCCAAATACGTATCGATAATTATTTGCATCGAAACTTGAGTACGCAATCCTGTAATTATATTCTTCATGTAGTATATTCATTAATACATACGAGTATAATGCCTGAAGGTGTGTGTTCTTTACTACTAATTTTAGTATACTTAAGCATAATCATGTTTCACTTTTTCTTCTGGGGTCTTCTCGAATACTTGGAGTCGTCCACATAACTTGTTACCACCTCGCGCTCCTCTCAAACCATTTCTTTCCTTTTTAGCTAGGTCATCTAAATACTCGTCAACTAGAAAATCTTGATCAAATGTCTTGATGTGTTATATAAATCAGGACTAATAATTGTAGTAAGTCAATCGCAATAGACCCCAATTTAACAATATAAAAATTTAAAGAAACATTCAAGCATGCCCAATGCTTCATAACAACTTGGTATACACAAAACTATAAAATTTTAAATAAAAGAACAGCACTGTGACAGTACCATACCCGGACGACAGCCCTTACAAAAAAATCCTTTCTATTTAATTTTAAATTGTAAGGATTTACGGTATCTACAGGTAGTTTTCGATAGTTCATTCCTCCCTGACACATATACTGCATTTTAACGAACGTGTTTAGACTACACACATTTTGTATTTTTAATTCTACTCTTCTACTTAACACTATAGAAAATCATTAGAAAATTCGCATAACGAGGCTGCAGTCATCGAAAATGTCAAGATTCTAGGTACAATATCTTTAGGGAGATCCTATTATACCTCATAAAAACGAATTCAAGCTCAGATTTGGATAAAGCTGATTTCATCTCGAATATATTATTAATTTCGTAATTGTAATTTACATTATTCTATATACAGAAATATTTATTCGCTAGTATAGGGCAGACAGAATAATAAACAGGGCTTTGATTTTACCAGATTTCATTAATTTATTTAAACTGACGATGAGTAACAGGTCCCCCAAAATATAAGACTTATGTCCGGGTGTGATGACGTCACAGTTCAGTAATCAATCTCTGTACAAACTAACCGGAGTTGAGTTCTCTGACGAGTGTCGACATAGCGTTGGTCACAGAGTCCGCCGCGTACAGCAGGTCGCTGCGCAGACTACGGTTGTCTATGCCCACTGATAGGGAAGTGGTCATTTATAGCATAAAATGAATTAAAAAATATATTAATAACTATACTGATAAATAAATTTATTGTTTTGAGTGAGAGAGACTTATTATCTTAATTGTTTCCAAATTTTACCAAATAGATTTCCGTATTTGCTCGACTCCCTTTTGACAGGTTAAGCGGATATCTGCGTGTTGTCTACGTTTAAAGAATATTGAATAAAGTCACGTATTATTACACAGCGTATAATGCATAGGTTTTTTTGTATGTGGGTTCGATTCCTACCCGAGACAAATATTGTATGATGAGCACGATCATTTGTTCTGTGTCTGATAGTAATTTATCTATAAAATGTATGTATTTAGAAAGATTCAAGTATGTTTATCAGCAGTCTGGTTACCATAACACATGCTCTGCCTAGTTTGGGATCAGACGGCCGTGTGTGAATTGCGTGAGGATATTAGTATTTTTATTACTACATATACCGTGATAATTACATGTCAATACCCAAAATTATTATTATTTCTGCCACCTGTTAGATGCTTTAAGTCAAGCGCAACGATATTACGTTTTTAAGCCTGACAGCAGAGGGGACGGATTCAAACCGAACGGATTGTTGATATTTAAGTTTTTTGGTCATCGCGATTAAATCCATTGGCATGCATTAATTAAATTTAAATGAAAATATTTAGGTATAATTAGGTAAAATGGTCGTGACTAAATTAGCCTGTGCTCTGCTAACAGCCAGTATAACAAGCTGACGAAAAATCGTGAAATTGATGTAGACATCTTCTCAAACAGTCTTCCAAAATTTAAAAGCAAAGTTATTAAGCATTTAGAGCTTAATAACCATTTAGAGCTTCTTAGACCACTTTAAGTGCATCACTGTCTCTAATTAATTTCAGTGATGTTCTGTATGTTTTGTATATTATTATAGATATTGCTTTGTATAATCTTAGATGAAACTGTCCCTTACCATGCCGTGACAACATGTAAGTAAGACAACACTCAGCACATATTTGCGAAACTTGTTTGTAAACTATGTATTAGTGTATGTTTTGTAAGTTGTCCTAAATAAATAAATAAAAATAAAATTAATATGTAAAATAGGTGAACCCTATTGTTAATAGTTTTTAGAAAACTAAGTACCTAACTAGGTATGTTTGGGTGAAAGTTTTGAATAGTTCGGATAGTTTAGTTTATATTTAACACAAATGGATTTGAGAACAGCGAATTATGAGATCACAAACCGTTATTTCATACATTTTTCTGCAACCACAATGTTTAGACGCCTAAAAAAATAAAACTTATTTGATTGTCAACTATTGTATGAAGTAGAACATACTGTTTCGTTTTCGAGTTCGAAATTAGAATGTAAACGCCACGCGGAAACACATAAACATAGCCCAATGGTAGTTCATACTCACTCGTGGTAGGTCTCTGGTTCTGATGGTAGTTTCTCCCTTCGCTATTCATGCTTTCCATACCACCTATGAACACAGAGAAGTCAGTTACCAATATCTCCTACAGAAAGTAGGAACTTATAAGTATTTAAGATTTTAAGTATTCTTTTCTGGTAGAAATTTTACCGAGATCGATTTTAGAACTGGCAACATATGTACGTATTTTATTTCAGTTTTACCAGTATTTTTAATTTACTTTTCCTATTTACCAATTATTGCGATTTGCTACTAAAGCGTGTTATTATCTTTGTTAGTTTTTTTTAAACAATAATTTATGTCATGTCATTAGTACTTTTTTTTTTGTTGTTTTTAGACAAAAAAAATTTACCCCTTCCCCTATTACTTGGGGGGGAGGAGGGGCGGTTGTACTCAACGGGCGGTCACGCACTTGTGATTCTTGAGTTGTAGGCGTCCATGGGTTGCGGTAGTCACTTACCATCAGGTTGTTTGCAGATACACATCTACCCATGTAACGAAATTTATTATGATATTAACGGATTAATATCAATATGAAAACATCTTTATATCTAAGTTATAACCAGACTAGTGACCCGGCCTGGCTTCACACGGGTGCAACTTACATTCTACTAATATTACTAATGTGGTGTCAGTGTGAAGTAATTAATTACGCAGACTATTATGTGAATCTTTTTAACCGACTTCAAAAAAGGAGGAGGCTCTCAATTCGACTGTATTTTTTTTTAAGATATACAATTCCGTAGTACATTATTTTGGTCTGTTTCGTAAAGATTAGCGAGTGTTTGCAATGTAAGCGCGCAAAACCATGTTTTTTAATACAAATCTCTACTATGATATGTATTATTATATTATATGTATTGTACATATAAAGCTTCCTCTTGAATCACTATCTCTATTGGTGTAAACTAAATTAAAATCCGTTGCTTGGCTTAAAAATCGAAGCGTACAACAAAAAAAAGCGATTTATACTATGTAAAGATGTCAGGTACTCACCAAGACTGTGCGACATATCAATGCGTTCCCTCTCCCCTAGCGAAGGAGTCTGGGGGGCGCTTCGGACGGTCCCGCGCGGTACTGAGGTTGGCTCCCTGTAATATTATTTTAAACTTTATTATTTGGTATCATTTTATTTAACACATAATCCAATAAATCCAATCGAAAACTTTTGATTCACTGATCATGTAGGAATCATACCATGTCTGGAGGGTTTTATTTTGAAAAGTTACCTTTCAGGCGCGCTGGGCTGTGGTTGTTGTCCTGGTAATGGCGGACTCTTAGTAGACCTGGGTGAAGAGTTCGGAGTTGACCGCGGTGATGACTGCTGAGTCTGTGAAGGAATACCTTATATTGCTATCCACTTCGGATTTGTACACGTAATAGAATGACGGGCCTGTTGGTTAAGTGGCGATAAGCACGATTATTTGTTTTGTGTCTGAGGTTAATTTGTCTATAATATGTATGAATTTAGAAATATATAAGTATTTTTATCAGCAGTCTGGTTACCATAGCACAGGCTCTGTCTAGTTTTTTGAACAGCCGGTTTGGGAATACTTTGTCATATCAGTCTGTTAAAATAATAATAAAATAGTTTTGGAGGCTCACCTTCAGCATCCTCATGAGTCCTTCGAGCTGATGCATCAAATGTTTCCTTGACTCCTGTAGCGAGGACAGATGTCCTTCTAGTTCATCTTTCCTTTGTCGCAGTAAACGTAACTCCGACACTAGCGGAGCGGAGGTAACTCCGCCACCTGCACTTGCTTCCGCTTCTTGTTGACGTCTGATGTCAAAAATACGTATTTCATGATTACATAACGAATGGTCATTCGACGGCCTTTTTGTTTAACTTTTTTCGTCATATTATGATGAAAAAAGTTATTGATAAAGCATTAACATTTTTCTAGGTGTCTAATTTTTATACGAAAGAGTTTTCGTGTTATTAATTTTTAAAATAGCATTTAGTTTCTTTTTAATGTAAAATGTAAATGTATCGTAGCGTAAACTTTATTTACAAGAAAACATAATCAAATAAAGTGTTACTTACCGGAGTCTGGCAATCTCTCTCATTATTTCCCTGTTTTTGGCTTCTAGTTGTGAGATAAGCTCTCTCTGTTGTCTGGCTGCGTCCACCTCGGAACCTTCCGAAGACGAACGACCCTGTTCGTATTCATATTCATATTAAATTAAGTCTATCAGGGTTATTTAGCTTTTTCATGACAGGTAACAACAATTTTTTTTAGGTAACTCAAAGTTACCCTTTTTGTTGGTAGTCAACACATTATCTTGAGGGTCTTGGGCCTACTTTTTTTTTATTAAAAGCATTTTGAACCGTCTATTGAAGTGTTATTATAGGTCTTATATTTATACAATTTAAAAAAATTTTAAAACAACTAAAATATTAGAAATTATCAAAACGTTACATGCAATAGAAATTGTGCTTACTAATTCTGGAGTGAGTGACGCCGATCTTCCTGCTCGGGGCTGCAAGAAATAAACGATTAAGGAAAAAAATCGCATTTCAGTATAATACAAACACAAAGTAAAACATTCGAGGAACTGTACTGGTCTGTAGCCCAAGTTTAAGTTGAATGTTCTCTTAGCTTTACTTTAACTCAATCGATTTAAGTGGACAAACGCTCAAGTTAATTAGTTTTAGAGAGTTTCGAAGATATTTAGAACGAATCTTATGTAAACAAGTAATTTATAGGAATATATCGTGTTTGAGAATAACTGGAGAAAGGTAAAAGTTAGGTGATTTTAAATACTTTGAATCAATACCGTTTAATTTAAAATATATTCTGAGTTCTACATAACATAGAACTTCGTGTAGATTTAATACATACCAACCTACCCGATTTACATATCTAAAACACATACCATAGTCCTGTTCTCATGCGCAAGTCTCGCGGCGTATCTCGCTATGAGCCGATGTTCGTCGTCCACGCCACGAGATAGATGCTCCGCTATGCCTGGTCATAAATCATGTTTATTCTAATCTATCCGTTTTTTAAATTGCCTTCGTTAATTGACAGATAGTTTATAGTGATCAGAACTCATCATAACGAGCCATTAGTAGTCCACATCTGGACATAGACATCTCCTTATGAAGGAAGTTTTGACTTACTTTACCACGCTGGCTAGGCAGGTTGGTATAGGGTTTTTGTCAAGTTTTCCTTCTCTTTGCAGTGCTGTTGACCTGCGTAGTTTGCTCCTTTAGTCAACCCTTACGACACTCACGGGATGAATAGGGGTGGTGACACGGACGGATTCACGTGTATACTAGAAGAAGTGAAAAGTGTAAATAATTGCGCTAAACATACTTCTATGTGTAGATCTCGAAGAACGCGAATCCAGTGATCCAGTGTTGACGTACCCTCCGACGTACTCCGGGAAGCCGTTATGTGCCGGCACCGGCGACGGTGGACTGTGAACATTTTTATATTTAATATTTAGTTATGTAGTCCTAATGATTGTGTAAAGAACAACGAGTGTTGGAATAATTCTAATAATACTTTCTGAATGCTCGCTTGTCTATAAGGTCACGATTTCAGCCTCTTGCCAACATTTTCTGTGGCTGTGTAATTTTATGAACCTGTATTTTTGATTTATCTTATATATAAAATTCTCGTGTCACAATGTTAGTTACCATACTCCTTCGAAACGGCTGGACCGATTTTTATGAAATTCACATCGAGTAGGTCTGAGAATCGGCCAACATCTATTTTACACAAACCCTTTTTTTTTCGTGCGGAAATCCCTTTGGATACCACCACATCGGTGGCATGTCGGACTCGAACCAACTAAAACCGCACGCCGTCTCGGGTACTAATAGCCGGGGAACCGCTAAATGACAAGGGTGCCCCACCCCTTTTTTTTTTGCACCCCTAAAATTTTTTTTTCAATATTGCCTAGATATAATGTATATGGCAAAACAACGTTTGCCGGGTCAGCTAGTTATAATATATATTGTGAATTAGGTTATAATACTGACACGATATGGCTAAGATTGAGCGTGCGCTCAGGTTGGTCGGGGTAGCGAGGTAGTTGCGCTCGAGCACGCTCCGGGACACAACGGAACGACTTGCGGAGAGTCGCGCCTATCTGCTTAGACGGGGACTTCTGAAAGAGAAGATTATATCTATCAATGTTTTAAAAGGTTTTATGATAAAAAATAAAGAAAAACCAAATACGTATACTTTTTAAGTGTAGTATCAAATTTTCTATGGGTCACTTACAACCTCTTGGTGCCATAAACTATCGCGACAAAGAATATCACCAGCATCATAATAACATTGCATCTGTTAAAAGCCTACATTATATCGTTGTCGTATACAGACAGTATTTGCAAAAATATTATAACAGGCATGTGTATCCTGTGCTGAAGAACATGGAACATGGTAACAATTGCTGTACTTATAGAACCGTTACTCACATATGCTGCATACTCCTTGACCTCATGTTCGTTAGTATGGGTTCCCGACACTCGTCCTCGCCAAAAGCAGTCTTGACACATCGTGTAGTTAGCACAGCGCGTACAGCGGTAACGGAACCCCGTAAGGGAAGCACGTCGACACGCACTGCATGCCAGGGGGTGTACAACTGCAAAAAACAAACACAAACTTACTAACATAAACTACAATAGTCAAACAAAAGAACAGGACATCTGACATCTTACGGTACACTCTAGCACCGCGCACGCTCATTGGCCAATTCAAATAGCGCGATGATCCAGGAACCTGTTACCCACTTCCGTCCCTTTTGATCAACAGATTGCAGAACAGCGAGAGTGGTATAGTTACATAAAATAGCTTTGTAAAAAAGAGCAATACAGTTACTTCATCTATACATATTTAACTGACATTCTCTAAAGTTACATACGTAAGTACGCACACATGCACACAAACAACAAACACACAGATACATACACGCACACATGTTAACTCTCTATGCCTGATAAAAGAAGTACCTTTTACCGTATCCTTCATAAGGTCAATAAAATCTTAAGCATTACAGTTCACAGTGAAATAAATATTATATTTTAAAACTTATCATACCATTCTCTGCACTAGCCATGCGATGGAGTAGAGGCAGCCAGACAAGACAAGGTGGCCCGGGGTCCGACATCAACGTGTCCAGGAAATCATTTACCGTGATTTTTCCATTTTGCTGTAAATATAATAAAATATTTTAGGGACCCATTTTACAATTACCATTACACATTACACCAGTTGCCAAATAATAAAATTTTATTATTAACTGCTTTTAATTACACAATATATCTGTTTAGTTATTCATTAGTATTTCTGAGGGTAACGAAATAAAAAAATATTTATTTCAACAGTTTAAAACATACTTTTAAATTTAAAAATATCGTAATTCACTTCCTACATAAATGGTAATGACATAATAATTTTGTAGTAAATTCTATATCTTAATATAAATTGATGCCCAAGAAGTAGCCCGATGTCTGATAAGTATCGCTTGAGTCCCAGTCTTTTCCTTACCTGATTAAATATAGTAAGTGCCAAAGCATCGGTGTAATTAAAGGATGGAGACTCGTAGACGGCAGCTGGCAATGCCAACACTTCGCGAAGGTAATCCGACAGCCTCTTCATTAGTAAATGACCATTGCCGTCCGACAACTGGGAGAATATGTCTGGTGAAGGAAATGAGTTCATCGGTATTGATATTGTTAAGCTCAAGAGTATTTAGATTTGGAGGCGCCATCTTACGAACTATACCTACGTTTAATGTGAACTATTTTGCGAGACAGGTTTAAATAAAACTCTGCAGTAACTATAAACATTAGTTAACCTGTTTTTCACCTCTATCCCAATAGATATGTTGAGAATATTGCCAAACACTTTTTATTTTATCATCATTAACAGCCTTTAATAGTCCACTGCTGGGCATAGGCGGAGGCTCATAAGAAGAATCTCCTCTTAGAAAGGCGGTTTTGGTCTTTTATACCCTGCTTGGCAGACGGGTTGGTATAGGGTTTGTTTCAAATTTTCCTTCTCTATGCACCACTCTAATCCTGCAGAGTTGGTTTCCTTAGTCGGCTCTTACGGGATGAATAGGTAAATATTATTAGGGTATATTATATAGCAAGGCCATTATTCAACGTAAAAAAGAAAGATGTATAACATTTTCTTTTATATATTATAATAGGGCAAACGAGCAAACGGATCACCTGATAGTAAGTGACCACCTTCACCAATGGACACCTGCAACTTAGAGCCAAAAGTGCATTGCCGCCTATTGAGTCCCCTTCCCCAGAATTAGAGGGGTTTGGGGATCCGCTAACCTCACTCACCAGGTGAAAACCAACGAAAGAATTACTTAAGACCGGTTTTCTGGCTCAGTTAAGGGGGTCTCCTAATAACTGTTTAGACCAGTACATATTAAGAGCAAAAACAATGACTATTGATTCAGACCATGAGTATCATCAACAGGTATAATGTACTTAGTCATTGTAGATAAAAACACAATAGGCACTTACATCTTCTTGCAATACAATAGTAGTATTGTATTATATTTATCAGTAGTAATATGAATTCAGTGTTAATAAAAAATAGTAGGTATGTTGATATCATCATTATCATCAATAACTATTTAATGAATCTGTGATAGACATGTGACAAAATCACAATGAACTGTGAATGACCGGTGATTTATCATTTGAGTTTGTCGTAGGTTGGTTAGGGTTACTACTGACTTACGCGTTATTGCCAATAAGCTGTTTTCAGACGATGCATAAAGACCCTATTGCGACCCTATATATATACAATTTTATTATTTATAGCTACCATTCCCTATATAATAATAAGAAAAACTAGATTTACTGTTTAATAGCGTCTAACCTACCTACCTAGCAACCCTAACCTACGTACGCAAAAATCGAATGATAACTCACAGTTCACTGTGATTTTGTCCCATGTCTAATCTGTAACATTCTAAACATTGAAATATACTATACATACAATTGTGGTAGAAGAGGCCGCAAACGATGTCAGGCAGCTTATTTACCTACATACGCTTTATTGTTTCAATGATTTCTTTATTGGCACTAATTGTGTAGTTTTAAGACATGGAAAGTAACCAAATACTATATGTTTTTAATTAATTTGAATAGCGCTTAGGTTTTTAAATGCGAATATACTATTGAATTACTTGAGACAAAATTTGAATACATGAAAGTAGGTACTATTGACGTACTTTTGACGGGCCTATTGGTTAGTGGCCCTGACTGCTAAGCCGGCGGCCGTGGGTTCGATTCCCACCCAGGACAAATATTGTGTGATGAGCACGGTCATTTGTTCTGTGTCTGGGTGTAATTTATCTATATTATGTATGTATTTAAGAATATATAAGTATGTTTATCAGCAGTCTACCATAGCACAGGCTCTGCCTAGTTTGGGATCAGACGACCGTGTGTGAGATGTATGAAATTATTAATTATTTATTATTATATTGATAGTAGGCCAAAACCTTCTTTCTAAGGAGAGGCCTATGTCCAGCAGTGGACTGTTAAAGGCTGTTGATGATGATGATATTGATAGTATACCAAAATAAAATATAACACAAATAGATAAACAATAGTGTTTTTAGATGATTGAGGGACACCTATCCAACATAAAGTATTGGATCCCAACAACAACTTTCATTAGTAATAGAATCCTGTAATTACGACCATACTCCTAAAAATCTGTAAATGTTATTCTCCTGTAATCTGAGTCAAGCTCTATATTGACAACTAAAGCTTTAGATTAATAATACCCCTATAAAAACTGCAACTAATGTAATGTAATTTACTGTGCTCAAAACACTGATATTGTCCATAAAGAAGAAAGAAAGATTCATGCACCAGTAAAAAAACTTGATAGGACCGTGTAGACATGGCCACTATTTGTAGCTTTAAATTTACTGTAAATACTTACATCTCAATTTGTCCATTAATTTACCAGCACACATTGTAGCTAAGGCCACTTTGATTGAGAATACCCTAATTTTTCCAACATTTTCACTGAAATAAAACAAAAACATCTGATTTACATCCTATATTTGTTTAAATTTAAATTCTTAAAAACTTTTTAAAATGTACCTTTTATATTAATACAACAAAATTATTGTAACTTTCATCACTTTTATCTGTGCAAGCTTAATTATTAACTAACCATAACAAATATTATGCCAGTAAGGACTTGTTAATATAAAAGTAAGAATTTGTAGTCAAAAATTAACTCAAACTGTGTGGCAACATGCATACTTTAAAATGTGAGTAAAGCTAAAGATGTCTAAAAGCACCACTTCTTGCTAGTTAAAATAACTTTTCCATTTTCATGCTCATACATATTCTGTTAACTGAACCATCACCTCTTCACTTTCTGATGACATCATTTATCTATTAAATAAAATTGAAGTGTCTGTTTGTAAAGTAAAAAAAACAGGTTTTTTTTCATGCTCACATGGTCATTTAAACAAACTAAAAACCAGTTTAAATATTTTTTGTCTGTCTGTCTGCTTGTCTTCTAAACGGCTGGACAGATTTTGATAATATTTTACTACCAGGTAGCTGCCTATATAAGGAGTAACTTAGAATATTTTTCCTCTCAGGAAAACTCTATAAAATTTTGCCCAGTCCTGGTGTCGAACCCACCACAAATTCCAGACAAACAAAGTCACAGGCACTAGCTAATGTACTATATCTGTTGAAGATCTTTAGAAAGAAAGTCTATCTGATTTGCAATGGATTGGATTTACAATTTGCTATCATAAATAAACTATAACAAAAATGCAGTTGCATAAGTTAACTAAATAAATACTTACCCAGTACTATATGCAGACAGTAACCAATTTAGCAATAATGCTGAACATGCTTCCACAGACACCTGGTGTGCTGGTGGCAATCTCTTGTTAAGGTTATGATACAGTGATGAAACAAGTGTCTCCAATCTTGTGACATTCACACAAGCAGTAGGTTCTAATGTGTTGAGAGCATTTTCTCGGAATGCTTCTATTACATTCCATATATCTATAACGTGTACTGAAAGCAAATGGCTATATTAGAAAATATAATTTAATATTGTTATGTTATGTTATTATAAGCTAAATTGCCTTGACCAATTAAATACATACACATACTATGTATAAATAAATGAGACATATGTATTGTCTCATTTGATTATATATAGTATTTAGAGTTTCATTTGCATGTCTTCAAAATTGTTTTTCAATATTTCTGTTGAGTTCTTTGGAGCTATAGAGTCCTTAAAAATATCCTATGATAGAGGATCTCTTTGTTACTTCTAATAATACTCATTAACCCAATCCTTTTCAAATCTTTAACCAATAGTGTGTTTAGAAATATATGTAAGAGATCATTGTCAAAAATTTGTTCTTATTCCAAATCAGACCTCTAGGAATGAACACTAATTCAGTGTAAAAATATATTATCAACCCAGCTGAATCTTAAGTAAACCAGTAATTTATGTAATCTGAACAAAGACAAAAATGATTACCTCACTTCATAGCACTTCATGATATTAGTCATGCTTATTTCACAGATGATTCATAACAACTTAAAGATGTTTTGACTTACATGTTTTAAATCTGTATATTTTGTTTGAATTAATAGTATTACTCTTTTATCATTTCTGATTATTTCAAATTATGCTCTATATTATTCTGATAGAGCCTTAGTCTTAAAGAGGCTAAGGCTATATGATAATATATAAGGCCTTCTTAAAGGGGGGCAAATGTGAACCTTAACCTACAGATTGTTGACATGAACAATCATAATAATGAAATAATAAGAGTTTTATCTCATTACTACAAGATTTCGTCTCTATCTAAATTTCATATCTAAGATCTTCATTTCTACTATCTACAACAAGTATTTTTCACTCACATCAAAAAAAAAAATCATTAAATTAAAGAACTTATAGAATTGTAGTTATTAATATACTAAGATATTTATATTTAAAATAGTATACTTACAGTTGCACTTCTTTTGGACATAGCGGAGTTTACAGGCAGTTCTATATGATGCAAATCTTATAAGGTCAAAGTTTTGCTCCCTCATCTCTTGCAGGAGCTGCGAGCGCGGATCAGAGGAGGAGCCTCCTGAGCTGGGAAGACCCACGACACTCATAGCACCAACACCGGGCACTCCACCCACGCTCTCGCGTTCCAGTGACATTGCTGCTATTTTGTACTGCTGCAGTTTAATATAGACTATATTTTCCAAACTAAACTTATCACTGACACACCAATATCTATATTTTTATTACATGCCAAAACCCACGAATGAGTTCCAGAGCAATTTAAAGAAGACAAAAAACATAAACAACTTCTGCGACATCAAGTTTCGCAATACAAAATGTTATCAACATATAACTAAATAATAAATGTTAAAAAACCGCTCACCGAAACGAAACGATTAGCTCATTACTTTGTTGACATAGCGATAATATATTCACGGTAAACTCAAGATTATTTTCGTAGATATATCGATTCAAAGATTTATTAGTGATAACTTTGTATTTTTATAACGATTAAATAAATAGCCACTGCTGCAGAAAGGTTACGATTAAAGTTCCCACTCCTTCTTAACGTTAAGATAATTTTCTTAATATTTCTTAGACAGAATAAATTAAAAAAGCCATTTCCGTACGCTAATAAATTACTGGATATCGAAATCAACATGACAAGCCTGCCATTAGAAGTACGTTCCAATTTGTCGCCACCCATGTAAATTACTGAAATTATGTTGAGGTAAAGTATAGTATTAGTCTATTTATTATAATAACTTCTTTGTTTTCAATATAATACTGAATAGAAAACAGTATCGTGAGACGACTGATTAATTTGAAATACTTTTTTAACGAAACATTTTAACTAGAAATCTTACGTGACAAGGAACATAATTATATCTGACATAGACGAACATGGTTAAACCATAGAGATATAAGCATAGAGTAAACACGAGCCGCGATCTTGCAATCAAGGTAAATAAAATCAGAGAGAGAGAGATGAATGCTGGATCTCCCTCTATCTCTTTGAAAAAAAGGTCTCTGTGTTTGGCTTCCGAATATGAGGTTTTTTAAATTTTGCTAATCTGTAAACTCTTTTTAATTAAAAGCTGTAAATCCATAACGTAAAATGAAGCACTGTTTTCTATGCAAAGAGGATTACCCTCCACAGTAAAAACGTAGTTTTCACACGTACCTATGTTTAATTCTAAACACAATCTATTCTATTTTATTCCAATTATTCTATAAGTGTACGTAATTTATGAGGTTTCCAAAAGATGTTGTTTTATTATAGATAAATACATGATTAGGATTAAGATGAATATTAGATAGATCTTAGGTTTTAAGATTTTACGTAAAGATATAGATATTTGAATGGCACATGAATCAAAACTTACAAATGATCAAAAGGAACGAGTCCGCATGCGAAACAATGAAATTACCATTTTTAATGGACATTAAGATAATGACATATGATGGTCGTATACGTAAAATAAGTTTGTCAGACTAATAATATTACATTTTAATTTAATGTGTCTCATTTATTTTTTTGGTTGAACTTTCTTCATTTATTTATTTAAATTTAATTGATTAAAAAGGTAAAACGTTTTATTTATAGATTTTACTTTTATTTTATGTTTTAAAATACAGTTTAACTTGATGTTATAATTTTTTTATGGACAAATTTTCTCAAATTGTTTATCAGTTAAGATTAGACAGTCGACATGACAGACATGTCGGCTGTCGTTTAGAATTCTTGCTAACAATTAATTTGCTACTTGTGCATTTCAATATTTACACGGCTATTAAATAATTACTTCAAGTTTTTGAGCTATGTGTTTTATATACCTTATATTTGAATTATTTACACCTAATGTTTTTGCGAAATTTCGAATCTCCCGGCTATTCTACGATGAAAACCACACCTACTTCACGATAGCCAATCGCAGCTTAGCTAAACAGAGACAGAGGAAACTATCGGGCATCTATCTCTCTCGTTGCATTTATTGCTTCCACTCACATGCAGCTGTACTCTAAGTTCACTCTATGCTTATATCTCTATGACTGAAACAAGAGTTTTAATCCTGCACTATGACTGCATCATTAGATTTCGGGATATTATTTCGGGATTAAATTCTATACTTCTGGAAATCGAAAAAGAAAATCGAGAACGCATACACAACTACCCATAACATATTAAAAGTTATAGCAGTTGCTTCATATTTTAGTTTTCAACATTCCCCTGCATATGATCATGAGAAAATGATGACAGGAGGCACTGCGACCTATGCGTTAAATGGCGTGGGTATATTCAGTTTAGGTATAAATTGTCCCTTTTTTTTCTGTATATTCTTAAAACTTAGCACTTTTTCCTTCGTTTTAGTTTCTCATAGAACCTACAGACTGGGATCGGACCGACGGCACGACGATATGATCTAAGTCAGTGACATTTACTAGTTAAGAATAAACAGAAGAAAGAACGCTCACATCCTTATCCATTAAGAAGTAGACAGAGGCATATTAAACGCCTATGTTTTTTTTTTTTTTTTTGTTGACGGGGTGGAAAATCCCTTCGGATCTCCGGCTCCTCGGGGACTCAGGAGCCAGGAGTATGTGGTGATTCCAGTAAAAACCACCCCGACGGCCGGCCTTAGGTGTCCTACTCTGGGGAGGACCCGGACCATGATATTTCAGGTCCTCCCCGAATTGACACCATGCCTAATCAGGCCCTATCCCAGGAGAGAACACTCCACAGGCCGGCCATTCCATTCCCTACCGCAGCAGTCAATCTGCCACCATAGGTCCCCACTCTCTGGCGGCCCGCGGCCCCGTCGACGGCTGATATCGCCGCCGACGTCTTCTACGTTCGGAATCGGCCCTCTCCCGATCCCGTTCAGCGGTCTCTTTCTGGAGCCTTACAGCTTCACAGAAAGAGACCACTGCGCCCCAGCCCTCCTCACCCGCCAGCATGGCAGCAATGATTGCTGGCGGGGACAGGTCTCGTCCGATTTGGTCGACCAGGACCTCGCGTTCAGACGCCCACGAGGGGCAGTCTTCCAGCGTATGCTGGGCGGAGTCCCAGTCGGCTGCGCAGTGCTGGCATTGTGCCGTCTCTTCGCGTCCAATCCGATTCAGGTACTCCCCGAAGCAACCATGCCCAGTGAGTACCTGCGTCAGTCGGTAGGTGACGCAACCTCCCTCCCTACCTACTCAAGCTTCAAGGTTAGGCAGAACGGCACCGGCTGCGCGTTGGCGCGCATTCCGCGGCTGCTCCAGTCGTGCGCGCCACTGCACCAGTGCCTGTCGGTGGGTGTTCCGCCGCATTTCGAGCTCATCCTGGTCTTCCCCACCCTCACCCCGGCGGATCACGCAAGTCTGGTCATAGACCCTCGCGTCCATATCCGCCAGGATATCAAAGGGTGGGAAACGTGCCAGGACTGTCGCCGCCTCCGACGAAATTGTGCGGTAACCTCGTACGATCCTAATGGCCGCTACCCGCTGCGCTTGATTGAGCTTCGCTCGGCAGCGGGAGGAGGCCGATAGGCGCTTGGCCCATATTGGCTCTCCGTAGAGGGCCATGGATCGTATCACCGCACAGTAGGGGCGGCGAACTTCCTCCCGCGGACCCCCTAGATTAGGCAACAGCCTCTGTAGGGAGCCCGCCACCCCGCGAACTCGGGGGATCATCCGCTCGAAATGCTCCTCGAAGCTCCAGCGGCTGTCCAGGGTGAGGCCGAGGTATTTAATGTACCGCCCGACCTCGACCTCTGTTCCCCCCACTTTAATAAGCGTTCTGTTGGGAACTGCACCTCTGCGTTTCCTGTGAAACCACAGGGCTTCCGTCTTATGAGGTGCAACCCTTAGACCCAGACCGCTGACCCCTTGGACGACACAAGTCACCCCTAACTCGGCGAGCTCCAGAACTTCCTGGAAGCCATGCCCCCCAGCTAGTACCAAAGTGTCGTCCGCGTAGCAGACGACACTCAATCCTGGGGGAAGGCTGGTCCTCAGGACGGCATCATACGCGAGGTTCCACAGAAGAGGTCCCAGGACCGACCCCTGGGGAACCCCGCACGTGACCTCCCTTCGACAATCTTCGCCGTCCCGACCCATATACGATATGGACCTGTCACAGAGATACACCCCGATGATATCCCGCAGGTAGGGAGGCAACTGGTGATACACAAGTGCCTCCCTAATCGCCCACCACGGAAGAGAGTTAAAGGCGTTGACAATGTCAAGACTGATGGCCAACGCCACTCCCCCCCGACAGACAACCTCTTCCAACAAGGAGCGGACGCGTGCAATCGCGTCTAGCGTCGAGCGTCCCTGTCGAAAGCCAAATTGGTTGTCTGATAAGTCAGGGCCCACTCGCGACAGGTGCTGGTTGATACGGGCGGCGATAACTCTTTCAAAGAGTTTCGCCACCTCGTCCAACAGGCATATCGGTCGGAACGCCGAGGGAGAATCTGCGGCCCTGCCAGGTTTCTGGATAAGTACAGCCGCCTCGGCCTATTCCCTAGGACCACCAAAGCGTACACCCATGCTCGGCCCGGGATCCCATCAGGGCCCGTAAACGCCTATCCTAGTCCCACTTACGTATAGGGGCAAGCCTATTGCAGACTATCAAGCTCATTGATTTCTAAATAAACATATATTTCTAAATACATACATATAGCCAAAGTACATCCAGACATACGAGTAAATGTTCATCACAATATTTGTCCTGGAGAGAATCGAACCATTAGACCGACATGCCCGTCAGAAAGAAAAATGTTTTTGGTAATCAACCGTTTGGAATAAATTGCACCTATCATGGTCACCGACACCGACGTGCACCACTGAAAGCACAATGAAGACTCAGTTGTCAGTTTTTTGGGTTTACTTTCTTCAGTGATTTCATCGGCGGCTCGATTGTCATTGTGATATAATGCGATTTTTTTTATTACCTGCGTTAGTAGATAGCGGATGTGCTTTGTAATTACTTAGTAAAAAAAAGGTTTAAATAATTAAATTAGTAGTTTTTTTTACGTACCTTTAGCTATATCATGTTTACAGAATAAAAAAATAATATATTTAATAATTTACTTATTTGTTCGACAGTTTATTTTTGAATTTCATAATCGATATTAATAAATTGAAAGCACTTTCATAACATGCTGGACACCAAAAGGTCACTGTGATTTACTTTATTATTAAGAAAAGTAAAAAAGAATTTGAACTCACATAATCTGCAAAGTGACTTGTCTAAGTAGGTTTTAAGTAAACCTACTTAGACAAGTCATTTTCAGATTGTGTTTTATTTATTTTATTTAAGCTGTGTATTTCATTGACAGCATCGTGTAAATATGTACATCTCAACGATGTATGCCACCTATTTGTTACATATTTATTTGTTAAAAATCGATTCGACGTAAGATTTTAATCAATTTATGTAAGGATGTATATTTTTAAGAATGTTTATTATTGTCTTTACGCATGTAATGGAAGATACGAATAAGGTAAAGTTTTGTAAAGATTTGTATTTATGAAATAAAAATATTATTATTGAGTATAATAAAATGAACAGATCTTTTAACAGTAAAATGAGAGGTAGTAGGTAGGTACTTTAGTTGTTACAACAGTTAGTTGAACTAATGTTGCAAGCTTTTAAACAAAAAAACTTAGAAAACGTACGTAAGTACTAAACACAAATAGTTATCTCTAACACATTTATTTATGAAATGAACACAGTTTACATTAACATTATCTGCTGCAGACAACTCAATACAATAACAATTAATATTTACAACATTAACAAAACAGAAATCTACACATAAATAATTTCGAATGTTGCACAACACTACATTTTTACATTTTATATTTATTTTTACTCACCCGGAGCATTGCCTTTAATACACATTTATTTTTTATCTATATTTTCAATAGACAAAGTTTTTACCTCGATAAAATTTTTGTAAATACGAAAAACGCGGCACGCCCTTTTTTTTGCGTCACACTCACAGAGTTTTGCTATAGCTTTGCTTGAAGTCTGTTTAGGTATAACAAATATTACATAAAAATATATTTTTCAAGTATGTTTTTGGTTTTGGCAAATTTTATCAGTATGAATATTGAATTGTGATTGTGGAGATAGTAAGTTTGTTAGTATACATTTTTAACATCAAATGCTGCTGCTACAATAAGCTTTTCATTGCAAGCTTACAAACTCTTAGAAAGTAAGTAGTTATAATAATTTATACTAATGGTAACAGTAAGTAAGTACTCTAAGTAACCTATCCTGTGAAAATATTGTGCCATATATCATATTTGTAGGCGCTGGGAGTGGTCCGGATGTCTTAATGTCGGCTGTTCCCGGACTCCAATCTCAGGCGCGAAGTGGCACACAGTGTGGTTAAAGTCGGTTTGATTCCCACACACCGCCACACCGCAAACCCCGGTGGGGTAAAGGCCCGAGAGGGTTTTCACACGTTAAAAAAATAATCGTACATATAACCGTGTGAGCATGAAAAAAATCTATATTTTGACATTACAAACATACACTTTAACTTTATTTATTTTTATAGAAAAATGAATGTTTAAATACGTTGCTACGTACATAACTCTAAAACGTTTGGATTTAGATTTAAAATTATTGCCGTTTTATATGCTAATTATTATCCTAAACAGAAAAAAAAAACGGAAAAATAAGGAGTTCGGTAAATTAAACTAAAATTTTTGACCATGTTCATAATTGTGTAACGAATGAGACGTAAATATAAATTAAAACATAACTTCTAGACACAATATTTAAAATAGGTAAATGTCATAAATTCCTTATAAAGTTTAGTCTTACCCGAGAGTATGACGTTAGTTGTTAAGTATGAGGTCAAAATTGTTTTATTTATACACAAGCTTTTATAGAACATTCCTTTTTGGCATTTTATAAAAAGATTTGACGAGAAGGTCAACTGTCGTATTTTAACGCCGAATCTATACACCAATATATTAACTTATTATTTAAAAGCAAGGGATAAATTTTATCACTATGCCATAGATATGCATAAAAATCATAGACAATTTCGAGTATAAGCGATATTATAAAAAACCTACTTCAGATGTCATGTGTGTAAGTACATCTTTTCAGGTATACGTAAGTACAAAGATATATAATATAGTTATATACAAAATTATTGTGTTTGTCACAGATCTGTTTGTATGTTGGTCCAGCCAGCGAAGACGACGTATTCTATGTATACATATAATCATGCCGTATTTAAAATATAAACATATTTACTACTTAAGTACGTCTTAGGGTTAGTAAGGAAGATAATATACATACATGAAGTTCTAATTATGTTCATTAAAGTACCTACTAAGGTTTATCCAATAACCATTAGGTAGGTATTTGCAGTTCAGAAATAGTATGTAGTTCTCAGTTAAATTTAAGTTAATTAAGAGATAAATCAGTTATCCACTGCGTTCCTGACTACGCGACTGACCCTTCCACAAAACAAGGAATAAAAATAAATATTCTTTGTTCTGTGGACCATTCAATAACTACAATAATAATGATAAACAGTATTAGAAGTTACTATCAGACAAATGTGTTGAAGTCTGAGAGTTAAACATTTTGTTTATTACTGTAGTCATCAATTATTTACTTGATTAAATTTATTGTAGTATAGTAAAATTAGATAAACTAGTACTGTTTTAATAATTTTTCGTTTATATGCGAGTTACAATGATTATCAAATTTCTTGATTTAACACCCTAAAACAAATGAAACCAATAAACGGCACACATAGGTTAGTAAAGTTAACTTAACTTTAAACGGAGTTTGTTTTTTGTTTTTGTGTTCACAGACTCACAAGTTGTCAAACCAATAGTGTTACTTAATAAATGAAACCTCAAAAACCGCGTCTGAGTACCTAAATGCTTTTATTTTTAATTATATGTTGATCTCGTTACTTGTTTTAATTACCTAGTAAAATTTAATTCTATAAGTTCTAAAAATAGTTGAAACCTGAAAATATGAAAAAAAAAAACTTATGTATAAACAACGAATTTACATTTTTGTATTGAAAGGATTAAGTACTATAGTATAATAATTCAACTCAAATTATCAAACTAGATTGATCAACTCTATTATTAGATTATTTTTTTAAATCTTGGATCGAAATTGAAACAACAAAATACTTATTTTCTATTCTATGTAAAATAGGAAATCCTGACACAACATTTAATAGCCTTTTTCTATAAATATGTTATACATTTTGGCAGGACGACAACTGTTTACAACATTAACTACTTTATACATGTTTTCTACATACGTTTTTATTATCTAATAATAAAAATAATTACCTTACTATATTTATTTTAGTATAGAACTCTTAGTTCTTACTTATTTTGAACCTAATTAAATGGCGTTTTAACTTCAAGAAATACAGCACGAAAATCTTATAAATTATTTTTTTCGGTTTTTCTTAGGCAATTCTTGTCTTTCTCCTTCCCTGTTTATTAGAGACAACTATCTCCTTGTTTCTTCAAACACTTCTTAACCACGTGGTTAAGATGTTTAGTTAACGTTTTTCGGTTTTTGTTAGGTAATTCTTGTCCCTCTCCTTCCTTCTTTATTAGAGACAACGATCTTCTTGTTTCTTCAAACACTTCTTAACCACGTGGTTAAGAAGTTTAGTTAACCTTTTGATAACATTATCAAAAGGATGTTATTTAAACATAAAGCCAGTGTCTCCAGGTAAAACGGCTGACCGGTGCACCACCTTTAATAGCCTCATGCTCAGATTCTGGGGATATACAGCATGCTATTCGCTGAAAGTAGAAAAAAAGAGCTATTTATTTCGTTGACAAATCCTTATTAAGGTCATAACGGTCATAACCTTCCTCCAACGGGGCAGGAGCAGGTTCTCAATTTAACGGTTTATTTTGCGTGTTTATTGCACGATATCTTCGAACTTCTCTTTAACGTATTAATATTAGAATTGAAGATCAATTTTGGGTGCAACCAATAATAAATAATAATAAATTTATGCAAATTAATAAGGTACCTTAACATATTCCATTAAAATTTGAAATTTCTTTATGATTTGTATTTATACAAGTAAATCCCCACTTAATATGTTAAAAGTACTAATTTGTCTTAATTTAAAACGTTTTCATCCTCAAATGTAAGTTCATTAAAAAATAATAATTGCATATATATTTAAGATAGCATCTTGGACGTTCACGCCCAGCCAAATTAAATGAAAGATCTCTAAGAAAGTCAATTTAAGTTCTAACAATAACAAAAAATATATACCTGTTTGAATGTCCCGGGTGTAGTGACCAGTTTATATATCGCAACAATAGGTATCATCAGTATGGAGGAGCAGGCAAGACCCCAACCCAAAACCACTGCCCAAGGTGGGTATGTATAATGCTGGTATTGTAGTGGTTGCTGGTATAAGAGACCGAAAACCACAACACCCTAAAAATATTAACATAAAAGTATTTTTTTTGATATTTCTAATAATGTCATTATATTATTTTCTGTCATCATCTTGTGGAGTGTAGATGATTATATCTCAAAATCTAAATTCTTATTCATCACTCATCAATCATCATTTGTTTCAATAAAATCATGTACAAGAATTATGGGAGATAGGAGCCATGAATCTAGTTCTTCTATTTAGATACATAGATCCTGAAGAAAAACAGGTAGAAAACTTCAGGGTCCCGCTAGCAACATTTTCTTTTTCAAAAACAAACAATATAATGTTCCAAGTCTCTGTCACCATTGAATCATTAAACCACAGCACTCATGAGAAGCAAATCTGTAGTAAAAATAAGATAGTTAAGATTGATATTTACAATTATAAACGTTGGACTGACAAATTTCCAGCATATTCTCCAGTAAATACCGGGTCTAAAGCCAAGCATCTCTTCCACGTCATCAGAAAATTTCTTAAGACCTGTAAATAGAGAATTCGTGTTTAACTATTAAGTACTTATTGCAAAGTGCTTACCGAAAAGGGAAAAAATATTACCGTAGAACCAGGATACTGCAACAGCTTCAAAGAGGGCGGAACAGAGCAGAGATATGCCGGCTGCGTAAGTATCCAGTAAATGAAACATGTAGATGCCACCCTAAAAACAAAAACAAAATGTATAAAAGCAGATATTTCTACATAACATGATGACTAGGTAAGTAAATTGTTCAGAAACATATTTAAACCTGATGCTTATCTGAATAAAGTTAATGTATTTCTTTTTTAAACAATGTTATTGTCTATGTACGTATCGAAGTACGTACGCAATAAGAATTACGTTGTGTAAAGCCTACTGCCAGCCTTTCTACACGTGTAGTCTGTGGATGAGTTTTGTTGGACGAGCATACAGCGACCTGAATCTTCAATACGATAACGCTCTTAGGGTGCTATTAGGGTTGCCGTACTGTAGAGGTGTAGCGCGCCAGGTATGTTAGCAGAGGCGCAAAATGGCGGTTTTGCGGTCACAATTAGAAAGAGGTGCGCCTCCCTGATGACGCGTCTCCGCGGTGGCACCAATACCATTTTTAAGTGTGTTAACAGATCGGTGGGATCGATGGATGCGACTCAATGCTGCGCCATAAAGTTCATTATATTCTATCTTAACATAATAAGGGACATTTGCCGAATTACATAATTTTAATATTACTATTATTTTGTGTGAATTTTGTCATTCCATGGCCTGGATCAAAGATAAAGAAAAAATGAAAGTCAATGCCAAAAAAATAGCAGTGTGCGGCGGTAAAAAATAGCCCAGTATATTTGATACTGGGCTATTATTTTACTGCCGCACACCGTTTTTATCCCCGCAAAATCATTACTATAAACAATTAACTAATTAATACGATATCAATAGCGTGAATTGATTGTTATTTCTATCTATTGAAGAGAGACCTCTCTCTGCGTTTAAGTCTTAGTCTGCATTTTAGTGTGCTAAAGCATTTCAATACTACAACCAAGCTAATACTAATGTGAACAACTAAGCTTTCGTATGAAACGATAATTTCTTGGTACTGATTGATCCGGGGTTGCCCCCGGATCAATCAGTACCAAGAAATTATCGTTTGCTTGCGGCTTGATCGAGGCGTCACTATTTTCTTAACGCGAATGGACTATAGTAAATATGCTAAATATTATAAGTAATAATATAATGATTTTACCGGTGTAATGTTGATGCAAGCCACGCAAAACGAGAAGCAGACGACAATTAAAGTAAAATGTTCCCGCTTCAACCAGTGTGCACCACACGCTCGAGCTTCATCTAACAGACCTGTTATCACGCACTCTAGACCGCCCATCTGCGAACGGTATAGAGTAATATGTTAAACACAGTTAAAGGTAAAAAAAGAACCCTTATAAGATCACTCTCTTGTCCGTCTGTCTGCCCGTGTGTCACCAACGATTTTCTCAGGAACGGGTGGACCTAGCAGTTTGAAATTTATACGAGATACTGAGATATATAGCCCCTTTTAGCTGTATTAAAATCAAGGTCCTTGATGATACAACCAAGGTCAACATGATAAAAAGATATGGCTAAATTTAGATTTTCGCTAAAACTTGTAAGTACCAAAATTAACCTCAATTTTTTACTTTTTTATTTGTCGGAATTTTTCCTTGTGTCCCTTTCTACTTGTGCTGTAAGACCTTACTTTTAACCAAAATTGTCAAAATTGTTGACCTAGAGGTCAACCGGAGGTAGCCTATAAATGTTGGGTCGAAAACCTATATGGTAGTTCCCGTTGACCTAGAATCCCGAAATTTGGCAAAAGGCAAGGTCTTATAGCACAAATAAAGGACATATTCCAAAAAATAAAAAAAGTTACAAATTAAGGTGTCTATAATAATCGTAGAACAAATGATGTTACTTTTATACAAACGGTACTCTAATTACGAGAAGAAAATAAATCCAACTGCGGTCTGAGCGTCTGTGAGTTGCAGATTTTACAATTTTCTCACAAACAATGGATTGAATCGTTCATTCATTATCATCAGACATCTCTAGTGGTCTCTAACTTTTAACGAACGCTTTAAATAAGATGAAGACAATGATAAAGAATGAAGCTTACAAGTACAACGGGTAGAACATACTACTTGGAGATGGCTTTCATTTATTTTTAGAATACATTTAAAAAAATGTTGAACCTTACCCCTGAGTCTAAACCAAGCATAATAAGCATGAAAAAGAAAAGCATCGCCCATAAACTTGCTCCTGGTAGAGTGGCCACAGCTTCTGGGTACACTTGGAATACCAAACCAGGTCCTAAAATATAAAAAAAATGAGATAAACAAAGGGAGAGGCACAGTGTTTTAGCGTTCGAGAAGAAAAATCATATGCTTGCCTTCAGTAGCTACAGATGAAATAGGAACTCCTTGTTTATGAGACATGAATCCGAGATATGTAAAGATTACGAATCCGGAGAAAAAGGACGTAAAACAGTTCACTAAAGTTGTTACTAGACAGTCCCTGAAAAAATAAAGAATTAATTGAATTTCTTGGTGCATTGTTTTAAACTGAGACAAAAAAAAATTTTTGTATGAAACTAATTTTACCGATAGCAGTTGTTGTGAAAAGTATTGTAGCTGGCGTAAGAAAGATGTACTCCAAAGCCAGCACCGACTGAGTAAAATATTTGTACAGCCGCATCAACCCAAACCTGAAAAACAATTTTAGTTTGTATTTTGTCATTTTGCGTCGATTTTATGATTTATTTCTTACCCTTAACTCGGCGGAATAATTAAAGTTGGGATTCAAAATAGATATTATTGTAAATAAATTAATAACTGTCCTCACCAGTTTCTGGGAATTTTCTTATAGGAAATGTCCGATTATACCTATTATAACGGTTCAAACATAAAATAACAAAACAAAAGTTAGATTAAGGCATATACTTGAGTATCTTTCAATCTTGTTAGCTCAGGCTGCAAGTAGTAAGCTATGCCCCTAGTGGCTCCAGGTAGGAGCAGTCCTCGCGCCAGAAGTATAGAAAGCACCACATACGGCATAGTTGCTGTCATCCACACAACTTTTCCTAGAAGCATTATAATTTGTTAAATTTGATACGGTGTAATGGTATTTAAAAAAGTTATATTAGGTTATCATAATCCAGTGTTAATATACTTACCGGAGCTTTTCACTCCTTTGAAGAGTGAAAGATATAAAGTTACGTAGACCATACCCAAACAAATCGCCAGTTGCCATTTGGGGAAACCCAGGTCGTTCAGACCTTCCGAGTACTGCATCTCGAGTACAGCACGACTGCAAACCAATCAATCAATAATTCTGTAGTGTAGCTATTAATCTAATAGACTTGATCTAAGACTTTGTTTGCTAGGAACTACCACAAACCATTAAAAACACTTTCGAGTTTTATTAACTAAAAAAGACTGCTTAAAGCGTAACCTAACCTAATGAAATATCAGTATTCCGTATGACGTAGTGTTTTTTCTATCTTAGGAAAAACATCATGTCATACGGAATTACTTGAGTTAAATATAAAATATAATAACGTTTCGGTGTGCACATAGTTATGTTGTACATGTATTAGTATCGGCGCTAAATTAGGCCACTTGAAAGGCTACCAACAATACAGTTTAGGGTCGGTTACCTTTCTAATTTGTAACTAATTTAGTATTTCACTTTCAACTTTTCAAATTGTAACTCTAAATTTAGCCTGGTAATTAATACCAACAGTTAGCCACATACCCACATACACCACAGTTACACAATAACTAACTTTGAAAATGAATTAACATTACCATATACATATATTGTACCATACCTGGTACCAAATCGCTCCTAGAAGCCTGTGAACGTCCCAGGAGGCCTCTGCGCTTTTGGAAGGAGCTTGGTTGACTCGACTAGCCAACCTCTTCTAAACGCATACAGAACCATTCTCGAGTCCAAATGCAAAAATCGCAGCCCACAACCAATATCAATACCAACATATACTCGTATGTGTACTATATTAATTCGACTACATAGTTAACATCCCTTAAAATGTAGTGTAAAGAGCTATTTTTGACAGTATTTTCTAATTCATATAACCCTACCTGTTTAATAGAAGTCTATTTCTGGATAAGTTTTTTAACGTACACTTAGCTATTTAGTACAAGGTTGTAAGCAAATTATATTGACCCTTTTTTCAAGGGTCAATTTCCTGAAGGAATGATTGGACCTGTTATGCATGCCCCGGGAATTTCTTTGACAAACACACATTATTAGGGGACAAGTGACACATTTATGCCAGTCTAGAATTAGATTGATGTATTTAGCTTTTGAATATTTCTAAAATATACAACGAAATAGTCTGATTAGATCTAAAACGGCTAGACAAGCCAAGTACAGTAAAAAGATAGTTATGCTTCACAGAAATCCTATTTGTAAAGTTTTATTTAGTTCAAATTTTTACTGAATTGCAGGTTTAAAAAATTAAAATATGAGAATTACATATTTTTCTTATTTCTTTCCTTTCTAATCTTTTTTAAAGACAACTCTTTTTATAAATATACAACTAAAACCACAGTCCGATTTGTTAGAGACTGATGTTCTATTATGGAGTTCTACTTTGATATACCCTACAGAAGAAATACAAAAGTAGCATGTGTCCTGCCTTGTAGTATAAACTCAAATCATGTGAAGTTTTACTGAAATAAAGAAAATCACTTCCATATTGAGTACAGAGTGGGTTCCTAATAAATAATTTTAAAATATCTTTAATTGCACCTGTTACAGTTTTATTATTAGTATAGATACTATTTATGATGCATAATTCAATAATAAGTTATCGCTGAAAGAACCATGATAGGTAGGTAATAATAATACGAGCATTTTATTTAAACTGAATTTGAAGAACCGTAGTAACCACACATTATACTTCTATTGAAATCAACTTTTAAAGATATTTAAATACTGATTGCCTACTTACTGAAAAAACTCCGAAGCAGGCGTGAAGTGCGACAAGGGTCCTTGATAACGTATATCAGTTCTATTGGTGCTGTTGGTTCTGGTCGTGTCCCAGCACTGCTCGGTGTTCCAGGCATTGTCGCAATGTAGCCATGGTAGCTCGGAGCGAGCTGATGATACTAGGAAGTAGAACGCCCAACCTAAGGTAAAATAATAAGATTGAGTTAGTAGGTACACAAAGATGTGGTCGCGGGTGGACGGGACGGGTTTTCCGCTCCATCCGCCATAACGGCCAGCCGCGAGGATGCGACCGACGCTCGAGTGTGCCGGACGGAATGTGTCCGAGGATGGTGCCCGCGCCATTGCGGACAGGCGCTAGGAGAAGTTCGAGTGTCTTAATAATAGCAGTACCCGGATCTTTCCCATTAGAGGCGCAGAGTGGCATACTGTGTGGTTTTTGTCGGTCCGATTCCAACACACCACCCCGCCGCAAAAGGTATTAGATTATGCTATTGTTGAGGAGTACATTCTTAAACTTTCTAGTAGCATAAATCGTGAGTACCAAACTAACGTGCAAATATAAGTACTATCCTTGTGGTATCAAATAACAAATCAAGGCTGCCACGTAGGTCCTTGCAACTTCATGCCTAAAGTTCAGAACAAGCTTGGCCTGTGCTGCGTGTTGAAACCGGTGATGTCATTACATAATAGTAGGTATTCATCTTACTGACTACTTACGAAACAAGTATAGAAGTATAACTGTACATACCAATGATCACGTTGTAGTAGAATGAAACGTAAAACGCCACCATGACCGCACAAAATCCCACACCTGGTAAAACAGGTAATCCTTACAACATTGCTTATTTAAACAAGAATATTCAATACGTAGTATCGATTTGACCTATATTTTTTTAGGCGCCTATAATTTCCAGTAAATAATTATTGCCTATTTCATGCAAAAACTAAACTATTTAACACCTCTTGAAGTAAAGTGTTAGTGAAAGTAATACTGAAAAATTAGATTCGTTACTATTTTTCAATTGTTTTTTATTGGAAAACAAACAATCGTACTATTTAAAATGAAAATACTCTTTCATTTATTTTAAGTTATTTGAAGCACTATTCGCATGTTTAGGTAAAATCTTCCATGTATATTTTTAGTTGAAACAACGTATATTAATAATGTGTTAAACATAAGAGAAATACCTGATGCAATTTTTCTTATTACATTTTAGTAAACTGAATAACGACCATACTATTATAAAATGAATTAATTCAGTAAAATATTATAATTCAAGCATAAGTCATTTTTATTTATAATAAATATTAAGTTGAAACATATTATATCTAAGTACAATTAGAAAATATATCATATATCAATGAAGATGAAGTTGATCTTTTCGTACCTTTGAACAGCGGACATATCTTCCAAATCGTGATGGGTCCTTGTCGGTTGTATTGCCCCAGGATTAGTTCCATGTAGAACAATGGCACAGCACCGAAGACTAACATCAGTGTGTAAGGAATTAGGAATGCACCTGAAACAAAGTCAGACCATTTCAGTAACTCCTTTGTTAAATTTGGCTGGTTAAGGCCAAAATTGAAATTAAAATTAAACGTTACACCTTAAAGATAAAAAATACAAATTCAAAACATGCACGTTAAAATAAATTCTGTTAATCTATGGTACAAACTCGTTTCTAGATTGATTTTCTTCAACTAATTTGTAAGATAACTTAACTAGCTAGTTTCGACAATAACAAAATAAAAAATGAAGGGTCCTTATTATTCGTCTTTTTGTAACATCAAAAACTTAATCTTTTAAAATCTAAAGTTTTAGAACTTGTATGATACTTGATACATACACTATTTTATATTATCCGTTTTACATATAATACACATATTTATTGCTAAATATTGTATCAGATTGGATTGGATTTAAATACACTAAATAATTGAAAACAAAAGTGAAATTCAATCAAGCATAAAGAAAAAATTGAATGTTTATACTTTTGCTACAATTACTGGCTGAAGGTTGAGCTTTATGTTTGCCAGCACGTCTGTCGAATATCCTTAAACTTAATTCATAAGCATCTCACCACCGCCATTCCTGTAGCATAGATAAGGGAAACGCCACACGTTGGCGAGGTCCACTGCGAATCCTATGATGGATAGTAGAAAGTCTGCTCCTGTACCCCATGTTTCTCGCCCGTCGTTGGCTTCTGCAGACAAAATTATTTTAAAGTCCTTGGAACTTTAAACTTACTCTCAATTTGTATGTTAGAGAAAATGACTAACCTGTTTTAATGCTATTAGTTCTGAGTCGCTTAGAAGCTTCACTGTAGAAACATTCCTCTTCTATCTGTACTTTAGGCTCTTCTATAAATATGAATATTGTATCAGTAACATTAATACAAAAAGATTTGGATATAACATATTTGTTACAAGTCATTCTTCTTTAAATAGAAAAGTGTTTAGTTTTAAAAAGTTTAATATGTGTAGAAAAGATATTATATATTTTAAATTACTCACATAGTTCTACCTATGCCAAACATCCTATATAATTACATTATACAACAAAACTTAAAATTATGACTTTGTAGAGTCAAATTAGAAATTTAATGTAAAGCTACTCATTAAAAAACATTTCTATTGTTTCTGAATCCATGAATTAAAACGCAATTCTTCTTTCACAAAAGAGAAAGCGAAGAAAACTGATTTGGTTAATCAAGTCTTTAAGCGGACGACTTGTTGGCGCCAATTATTTTTTCGCTTTGCATCATTTCGGTTCAAGCGTCAAGTGAGTAGGATACGCAAAGAATTTTCCATTCCATTGCAGACAAATCAGCTATCGCCTAATAAAGAATGATGAACACCGGTAACTAATGTAAATATAAATTGTCTGAATCATATTTACAACTTTCATCATTGTTATGATTTGCTGATATTACTTGTTTAATTGATATTGAACAAATAAAAAAAAATCTACACTATAATTACTTTTAGCTTATTCAGTCGATATTAATAAATTCGATTTTATTATTACTCCACCAAACAGTCTTTGTGACATACTCACTTTTATAACACGACAGTGTCACAACAGATCCTTTCGTAGATTTATTATCTGTAAATAAAAAAGTCGTAGATTGTATTATTTCTATCATTTATATACAATTTATATCCTATAAATGGATACACGTCTTACATCTTTTAAAACTGGAAAAAAGCTGGATACAACTCCTTAAATTATAAAATAGATTAAAAAAAAGGAATAAAAAAAGACAAATGATTTTCATTTTTATTGTCATTAGACAACTTATCTCCAATATTCAAAGATCGAAAATAGATTTCCCTTCGTTACAGTAAGATATTTCTTTCTAGAGTTTCTGAAGTCATATTATCCTCTATTTTAAAACAAAGTACCCTTCAAATCTAGTGCCATTCATAGGTCGACCTTAAATAGACGGGTACCCTTTCTCCTAGCACAGGCAACATAACTCCGATTTGAAACAGTGTGAAATTAATTTCTCAAACGCCCGTGAGACATCTTTGGATGCAATATTTCTTTTTACACTCATAAATGAATTTATCGAATCAGCCCAGTTATTAGATCCCGCTCACTGGCAATCACTTATTCAACAGGGTCATATTTTTGTGTCTCATACCTGAACTATTACTACTTATTTTTCACCCATATCTCGCATGTTTAGGTACTGTACCAATCGAGATTGATATTTGTGCTAGTACTAGTGCTAGTTTAGTACTATATCCACTATCCACAATCCATCGAGTGTCTGAGATTATATCTCTAAATTATTTATTTGATCTTGGAAGACCAACAGCTTTACAAATTGATTTAATATTGTATAGGTTACATTCAGCCATTATCAGGTCTTCACGAATAGAAAACAGTTTACAATAAGTAAGTGCGAGGATTTAGTATTTAAGCTATTATAAGTTTAAGAAAGAATCAAGTACAACACTTAATAAAATTAGTATTCTGAAAAGTACTCAAGATTAAGTGCCCGTTTCACCAACTGCCGAGTAATCACAAATATGTCAAGTTCTAATTGCTTACATTTTTTGTTAATTGCTCGCTCGCCACAGAAACCCATCCTGACGATAGTTCGCGAAGACCAATGGTAAGTGAATGTTAGCGTAATGTCCCAAAACTTTAGTGGGAACGTTAAAGGTGAATCTCAGACACTCGACCAATTGATTTGTCTTCTTTTTTTTTAACTCCTAACTTTTTTCAAAGTGCGAGTAAAGTGTGCGTGTGTTATTTTTCGGCGTAGGTTTTTATACCTATAAGATTGTAAATCAGTTTTCTTATCAGAACGGAAAGTATTAGATTTGTAAAATAAAGGACAGGTAGGTACACAAGCAACATAGTTAAGAGAAAAATAAATGACTTGTTTATACTTCTAAGTGATAGTATTTAAAAATAAAGCCATCATAATAATATTACGATCAACGAACATACAACATTTCAGGTCTTTTTTCTCACATTCTTTTATCGGATTTGCAGCTCCTTCGACTACATCTAAAAAAACCCAACCGGTAGCGCGCGTGAGTACCACAGTTAAGGTCGTAACATTTTTTGAGCGCCGATTGTATTTGCAAATTAAACCTTGCAAATATTTTCGAATTTAAACTTTTCTATTAAAATTATCTAGCACTGAACACACAATCCTCACGTAGAGGCTTGCGTTTCAATGAAATACCTCGCCAATGTCCCAACCTAGCTCTCATTCTTACATCCACCTCGTGATCTTAATAACGTCACAAACATTCACCCGAGCACCGCATAATGGGATGCCGATGCGGAAAAATTCAGCAATAATTCCCCTTAGGTACCAACTCTATTGGAATTCAAAAATGCGAGACCTTAATGTCAGAAACGGATAGGCATTCTGATAATTGAAGGTTGTAAACCACCAAAGATTTTTGGTTGACTGTTTAAGATCAGATAGAAGGATGATAATCAACAAATAATTAGGAGATATCATGGTATCATTTCTGTAAAATATTATTTATGAATTTGATGATTGCTAAATATTTATTTTCAGTAAATTTAGACCTTTTATAAAATAACTATAGCAAAACCTAAATAATGATTACAAACATAGATAGAAAGTTTCTTTACCGCATTCAGTTAGCTAAACATCCCTATATACATTTATAAATCAACCGCAACATTATCTAACTATAATATGTAAATATGTTATAAATAAAGCCGATAAGGAGAGGCCTATGTCCAGCAGTGGACTATTAAAGGCTGTTTATGATGATGATAATGATGAAAGCCGATAGTATTATAATTAATTTATTTCCAGTCTTTGCAGAACTTTGCAGTCCCTAGCATGAAATACTCCATAAAAAAAACCTCTTAACACACTTCATTCTTTTCTTAAAAGATAACCATTGGCACATATCGTGGTATTGGTAACATAGTCAGTTTGTAGTGATGTAAAAAAGTATAGGACGGTTCTTATTTCTTTTACAGTCCCATGCTATTTATTATTATACTATTTTCAATATTATTTATAATAGTCACACCTATTTAGAAAGAAGTACATGATAACAATTTACATAAATATTTTCTCGATCATCTTACTCTCCTCGCTTTTAAAGTAGATCCAACTGAAGTTACCCTATTTCGCTAAAACATGAGCACTGGTATAGTTTTATTATTATTAGCTTAGTCTTTATAAACTAATCTACTAATGTGAATAAAAGGAAAGTTTGAAGACCTCATCACAAAAATAACATGCACACGTACTCAAGTACTTAAAGTTGAACTTTGATTAAATCTAGCTTTTTGATACCTAACTCGTACTTAATAAATTAAAAGTTTCTCTGAATTAACAGTGGAATAGACAAATGAATGCATGATAAAGTTTATTGACGTCTTTTTTAATCGCCTGTAAGTCTGTCTAGTGGTTAGTGACCCTGGCTGTTGAGTCAGGGTTCGATTCCCAACCAGGACAAATAATTGTGTGTTGAGTGAGATCATTTGTTCTGTGTCTGTATATGTATATTTTTCTAAATCAATAAGTATGTCTATCAGCAGTCTGCTTAGCTCTATAGTACCGGCTCTGTCTAGTTTTGGGTCGGCCTGACGTGTGTGGGAAGTTTGAATTTAAAAAGTTTAGGGGATTTAATTTCTTTTTGATCTGATTACGTTAAAGAGTTAATGAAAAGACGGATAATTATTTTCTATATTAAATGTTAAATTACATTTTCGTTATTTTTATATTCTTTTCTTATTTATTTCTTTATTCCATTCTTATTCTAACGATGTATGTTTTTATGGTGTACAATAAAGAATATTGTATTGTATTATAAATGTGTAGAGGTAGTTGGAGTGTTAAACGTAGGAGATTTAATTATTTTTGGATATTCTACTCTTTAATGAGTATAAAACTGATGATTTTTTACAGCTTTATCGGTTTTTGCAATTACCATGACACCTGTATAATACAGACAATCGACAGATCATCAAACTCTGAAACAGCAAATTGGCATGCAATTTTACACCCACAGTGGTTTTTAATTAAAAATTGACAGACCAGGGTTAATAGACTCTATAATTGGATAAAGACTCTATACAAAATGATTACACCTACCCGTGTAATAATTTGGAATAGCATCTTCGAAGTACCTCGAAGGTATGGATTATAGAGGTAAGAAGAACCATCTGTATTTATGAATAGTGTCTATCAAAATACGTAGAATAGAGTGCGTTTCAGTAGCATCAGAGTAAATTTTAAAGAATCGCTATAAGTCCTTAGAGTAGGATAGTCATATAAACATTTAAAGAAAAACATAAAACACAATTAAAAAAAATAATTAGACTGTGATAATATGAGTTTTACAGGCAATAACAAAATTCATTCCGTCTATAGCTGCTACGTTCATGTCATTCCGTTTGGCTACACTAGCGCCATTCTGGTATTTCTTTATTAATTTTGAAAATGACTAACTTCCATGTTCAACCCTTATTTTACTCCTTTAGGGGTGAAATTTTCAATAATCCTCTTTGATGGGTGCTTACAACATAAAAAGCAGTAGCTGCTTGGCTTTGCGTGATAAATCAGTCAGTCCGGGCAAGTAATTTTATAAATATAGATGAACTAGTTGATTGTTGTTGTCTATATTTTGCAGGAAGACTCAATAAATAAATAAAAAGGTATGTATCTGGCAACATTCTATAATATAGCTATCAAAACATCGTTATGTCGCTTTATGTATAAATTAAATACGTGAAAAAATGTTTGTATTACTAGAATATAATAAGTAAGTAAGTAAAGAAATCATACAAATATCAAAAAGCCACAGCTATATCGTAATGAAGAATCATCCCACGGGAAACCTTTCGTCCGTTCCAATGAATTGAGATTACAAAATCAGTTTTTTCTTTGATGTTAAATTATATGCTTTCATATATAATATTCTATTTTCATAAAAACCTCTTTAGGTAATAATATACATTTAAAAGAACCCACTAACGACAATAAACTGTTATATAAAATTTAATATTCCGCGGAAGAGTCATGTACGTATAGGCAGCCTCGACAGGAGTACCATGGCCTAACAGTAAACCGGTGTTAGGCCCGGTATCCACCAAAGCAGAGACGAGAGGAGACGAGAAGAGATGCGCTGCGAAGGTGGCAGGTTATTTCCACCATAGCCGAGAGGAGATGTACTGAGTGTAGGAGAGATGTAAGCTGTGAGAGCTCCAAACCAGTCAAGTACTGAAGCTACGAAAGGAAAACATCATTTCGTTACAATAGTTATATCTTGATTTGCTTGAGGATGAGGAAATAGAAGTTAAAGAAATCCAATTAATTCTTCAATATCTAATTTATCGACTGAAACATAGATTCTGGATAAAAAACTATGTAAAATGTCACCGTCATGCCCATATCCCACAGTATTTGAAGAGTTTGCTGAGAGAATGCAGTGGGGAATGACGCCGCCCGGCCGCCTCACTGCACACATCTCCTCTCTGAAGCGCCGCTTGCTCGCTCGCGGTACAAAATTCTATAGAACAATGAGACATCTCGCCTCTCCCCCAAATTATTGCACTGCGCCTGTTTGGCATAATTCGTTTTTCTAACTGAAATTACAGTTTTTAATTACGAGTATGTTATTCACTTTTTTCAACAGTTTTATCTTAATTATTTTAGAAAAATACTATTAAATTACTACTAAAGGTAGCAGAATAACCAATAAAAGTTAGTTGTGTACTTTTGAAGTTATTTTGAAAAAAAACAACCACAAATATTTATAAATCCAAGATCTTACTGATTCTGATAATATTAAATAGGAGGACAACTTGTTAAAAAAATTAATTCTGAGTTGCAGGTACAGAAATATTCCTTAAAATCTCAGGAACAGAATAGCGGTGAAATATATTAAAAAAGTCCAATCAGTTAAGTCCAATCAGATGGCGTTGCCTACTCAAAGCTTATTGCCACTCCACTATTTATTCCGCTACTTGTGTTTGACTTGGCGGAAACCTCTTTCAATTTATGCATTTTAGTATTGGTTGGTTGGTTTTGTAACAAAATTAGTTATCTCATTTTCTTTGTCTATGAAATGAAATTTTGGTTGTCAGCTGGATTTTACGTGTAGAATCTTTTTAAAAAAATCGCTCTTTGAGTTTTGCATTAGCCTGAGGAGCCAGAGCTCCAAGACTCCCTGTTATTTGAGAAGTAGTTACGCCTGTCGTAAGTTTAAATAGCCTTTCCTAGGTCACACTTAGGTGTAGGTTATAGACAACCCTTTACGACATACTTATGTAGGTATGTCGTTTTGATTCATCCAACCCCGATATTACCACTTTTGAGCTTTTGGAGATTTTCACGAGTACTACCTTTTTTTATATTTAATCGTAAAAAATGTTTTACATAGTTTTGGCTATAGGTTAGGCACTATAATTATAAACGTTTAAATCGGCCACCTGTAATTTGTGCTAATCTAAACATTCCTAACTGTAATACTATGTCTAGATAATTAACTATTAAGACCATTTAAAGGCTGGAAATTGAGTTGATCCTGCCAACTACCAACTATCTCACCAAACGCACGCGGTGTACTGCTGGCAGAACAGTAGCCATCATCTCGCACACTTCGTCCACCAGGAGTACAACTTGCGCCCCGGCTTAGTAGTGCTGGATTGGCGCGCTGCTCTTCATATGATGGTGCTGTATGGGTCACAACACCAGTGCCGCTTAGAGTTGCCTACACAAAAAATAATAATTAGAATTTGTAATTTTCAAGGCAGGACATTTTGTAATGAGCACGATCATTTCTTCTGTATGTTTGTGAAGATATTCTATAATATGTATTTATTTCGAAATATATACTTAAGTATGTGGAACCTAATATGAGTCCTGGGACTTGTGGGAAGAATACAACATATTACAGTTTTTTATAATTTTTTTTATATTAAGTTGTTTTAAAAGTGCGGACTTTTTTATCTTTACGGTTAAAATTATTTAACAGATTTTGTGCTAATAAGTCCTATTTTTTCTTGAATAACTAAAGCTTCTTGTGCCAATGAAGTTAAATATAAGACTACCCACACAGAGTTCGGAAACTTATCGTTTACGTTAACCTTTAAGAATAATTATGTTATGTAATAAGTTGGGTAAACAACTTCTTTGCTATTGTTAAACAAATTAGTTCTCTAACCTAATTAAGTTGTTTACCACAGTCGTTTTTTTTTATATTAACATTATTTGGCTATTAAGATAGTACATCCAAAAATAAGCACGATATCGAGTTTCATAGCATATGAAATAACATGCGCATTATTATAATAGTAAATTAAAAATGTTTTAACATAATTGTTTTACAATTTTAAAATCCACCACGTGAATAAAAGCAATTACTTTTATTGACTTTACTTTTATGGATTTTCATCAATGAATCATGAATCAATTACTTTAAGTACAAAAAACGATGTGAGGGGTCTATAAGTTCCTTACGCTTTTAGGTAGACGTTTACTATAACCTCGGTTGTTTCGCTTGGTACACATTTTTCGGTCTCCCATCCATCCGCTCAGAGCGTGTATCGTGCGATTAGGAACTTCGTTACGAAATCCTTAACATTTTTTCTATATATTGACACAACATATAGGAAACATCCGTGTGGTGACGGATTAAGAATACGAGTGTCACCCCCCCTATTCATCCCGTGGGTGTCGTAAGAGGCGACTAAGGGAGCAAACCACGCAGGACAATAGCACTACAGAGAGAAGGAAAACTTGACACAAATCCTATACCAACCCGTCTGGCCAGCGTGGTATAGTAGGCCAAAACCTCCTTTCTAAGGAGAGGCCTATGTTCAGCAGTGGACTATTAAAGGCTGTTGATGATGATGATGATATAGTAAACACTTCTTTTTCGTGATCACTCACCAATGATAAAAGTGGGTAGCAAAAGTCTAACTGGAGTCATAAACTTATTCTCCGTATCGATTTATACTGACACGATTGAAGCCTTTCATTTAAACTATGAGTACTATCATCAACTTCAGGCCAATAATAACCTGCTATTAACTCTGTCAATAGCAATATTACGACAGCTAGAGTTAAGCTAGCTTATAGCATAGGTATTGCGTCATTCATAAAACAACTATTAAAAAAAAACGATAATAAAACTAATTTAAATGTCATATACTGACCATAGTCGGTACTTTCTCATGGTACTCCCTCTCATAGCTTGTAGGACGTGGCCTTGTCAGATCTGGCTTGTGGACTGTTGCGTCACATGTTTCGTGTTCCTGCACAATATAGATCTATAGCAACTTACTCTCCATTAGGAGGAGGTATTGTAGGTTAGTTTCGAAATGAATATTTCATTTTTCCTGTGGGACTCTATATCTCGAACACGACCCAGATCATTTTGTATTTCTATTTGGGCATTAGGTCGTCAGTGGCTCATTTCGAACAAGAAAAGAATAAGAATCAATTGGAAATATGTCTAAAATTTTCTGTGATGGAATATGTTCCCCTATCACACAATCATGTAAAACACCCCGAACACAGTCCGCGAAACTCTTACTTACAGCGAAACTCTAAAATACAATGTTCTTTTAAGCTTTCGAGACTTCTTCTTACCTTAATTTTTTACCCTTAGGTGTAAGAAGAATACATCCCAAATGAAAGAGAATAATCCAAAACTAAATTGAGTACCTCCTTTTTTTGAAGTCAATTAAAAACGGAGATTTATTACGAGAAAACCGATAAGTATTATAAGGTATGATAATTAATAACATAAATAATAATAACTGAACTAAATACTTAAAAATGGGGATTTAAACGCGGTAATATTTATAACCGCGTTTAAATCGCCATTTTTAAATCAATTAAAGTCTTATCACAGTCTTGCGTCTTTTACCTGGCTATGATGTGGTGAGGACCCGCGTCGAGAACCGCTACTTGAGGACCTGTTGCTCGCCTCTGTATACAAACAATACATAATATTACTTTCTCAGATTAGAATCTTAGTAGAGAAAGTTAAAGTTACTTTAATACATAAATGTGTAATTGCAATACACGTGTAAGCACAAGTGTAATAAATGTGTAAGCTCATTTAAATACACTATTAATACATATAATTTCAATAAGACGTCTTATCTAGAAGTCCGCGTGGCGACGGATTAAGAATACAGAGTGTCACCACCCCTATTCATCCCGTGGGTGTCGTAAGAGCCGACTAAGGGAAAAAACTACGCAGAACAACAGCGCTGCAGAGAGAAGGAAAACTTGAAACAAACCCTATACCAACCCGTCTGGCCAGCGTGGTATAGTAGGCCAAAACCTCCTTTCTAAGGAGAGGCTTATGTCCAGCAGTGGACTGTTAAAGGCCGTTGATGATGATGTCTTATCTAAGAAAAATGTATTTAAAAACAGGGAAATAAAATTGCTATAAATGGTGTTTAGAGTTTAAAAGAATTAAGTATGTTCATTTTAAGTTACATTTTTAAATTTGCTTTTATAACCTATATCGTTCTCGAAAAATCCTATAACGCTGTTGCAACACGGTTGTGGAATGAATTGAAAATCAAAATTAATACACCATTTCTGAATTTGCATCAATGTTAAAAGTCACAATCTAGACTTAGGGTTCTATTAGTATAGTAGTAGCCTATTGTACTCGAAACTAGTCAAAGATCTTTCTGCTATTAATGATGATGTGATTAATAAAGATTCATAGTCTCCAATGTTCAGTTTCCAAAAATTAAAGTCATCAATATGTTTTAGTAAGTACACTACAGGTATGCACACATATAGATATATACGTATATATATATGTATTACCTACTTTCTGTAAAATGTTGTCCTGCAAATATTGTTTTTTAGCGAAAAATTATTCGTTCGTTCGTACAAAATGTACGTTTAAAAACGTGTATCGTAGCAAACTTAAATTAAAGACACCGAAACGCAGTGTAGTATCTTATTATAAGGTGTTTTAAGAGGCTTTCTTAATAATAATATTGTATTAAATTAATAACAAAAACAAACCGACTTCGTATTCTAATTTTAAATCGGATAATTTAATTGTTTAAGTCGTTTTAACTATTTTTTACCTGTGGCCACTGGCTACGCGCCAATGGCAATTAAAAACTAGTATAAAAAACATAAATACATACTTATTAATGAAATAGGCAAGCAGAAAGAATTGTACCTACAACATAAAAAAAATTAGATCTGACTAATGAGGTCTACGATAAAACAATAGTGATCAATTAAAAGAATTGTGTAAGAAACCATTTAAAATAAATCGGTACAAGGATGAGTATTTTAAAAACATGAAAGAAATGTGTGCCTCATTATTTTTTATTCGGTTTAGAAGTCTTACAACGTATTAAATATGAGTATAACCTATAATGCTTTAATATGTAGACAGTTTTTTCGCAAACTTCTCTTTTAAGAATTTGTCCAAAACTTCGGCACAAAAATCTTATAAAAAACCTGTAATTACTTGCTAATATATTTTTGTAACTATGCTATTGTCAATAAAATCACATAGAAATCACTAAAATAATTGTATTGTGGATAGTGAATATGAATGATACATACAGTCATAATGATGTGGTGAATCTATATACGATGAACATACATTAAACATTTCAACAGTCTACCTGTTACAATAATTTATATACCAACAGCTTGCTGATAGATAGGCGGCACCGTAACTCTTAAAACTTTGCTCTTTGCAACTTAATTCGGTTTAATAAAAATAAAATAAAAACAATTCTCTATGGTCTATGCTCAACTATTTAAGCGGCACAAACCTGATAATAAAAATGTTGTTACCGAACCTTACTGATCAAATCACGGGTACTTTAAAACAGTAATTCATTAGGTAATGACAGGCCATTAAAGTTAAGACACTTCTGTTTGTTCATCGATCAAGGAGCCATTAGAGAGTTTCCTGCGTTAATCCACCACGAAATTCATAAAATTATGACCTTTAGTACTCACAATTAAATAGTAGTAATTAATAGTAGTAAGATATTTTAGTAATCAGTAATAGTAGTATTAAGTACTTGACTTATCATCAGACAGAAATATTTCATCAGTTAGGCTTCTAAGTACTGAATGCGATCCCTGTTCAGAATTGACATTTGGGTTGAGCAATTGTTGCAAGATATTTCTGAATACAAATTCTTAGTAACAGAATGGAGTTCGGACTTGAACCCCGATCACGGCAATGGGTTTAGTCCATGTCTACCCAGTGGACCAAATAAGCGTCACAAATGAAAATACGTGTAATATTACACGATATGGGCAATAACGCAGTTAGTATCACTAACCTAAATTCTTGTGAGGACTTGTACTTAACATTTTGAGAGGCATGCTCTATAAAAATATATTTTCAATGTATGTATCAATTAGAAGCAAATAAGATTTTTAAAAAACATTAAGCTTTACTTAAATAAGAAGGATATGTAAACTTACAAACATTGTCACAAAATTATAGTCGTTTGCAGTAATCATTAAATTTGAACTTGACGTGCAGCTAAATTTGAGTCTATAACGTTTATAAATGCTTGCTTTTGAATTTAAGTATTCCCTCGCACGATATTATTTTTTGTCCCTCGTAAAAAAAACGGATTAAAATACTAAGTTAATCTATCGCTTTCTGTTTCTTTTGTAATATTAGCATAGCTTCACACTTACCACGACTGGTGTCTCGCAGCTCGCCGGCTCCGACGCTGTTGCCAAGAACGGGCATACCCGCCATATCGCTCGCTACGCTACCCACCTCGCCATTGTATCAGACCTGCACAAAGGAAAAGACCTCTTAATTATTACCACATAACTATCAAAGAATATTGTCTTAACTGGACACCGATGAAAGAGGCTCCAAAACTTCAGGTGTACCTTCAAATAAGAGTTTTCATTTATAAATAGGCAAGAACCAGTTTCTTCCATGTTTGCTAATCAAAACCTCCTTTTTTCTTGTATGATACCCCTTAACTATGCCTGTATATTAACTCGATAGAGTTATGGATATCTACAATGACAGTTCAGGTTAATCAATGACATAAAATAAAACATATTTTTTTTAATGAATTAAATTCGAAATCAGAGCACCAAATCATCATTAGTACAAAAAGGTAAAAAGAAACCTTAACAAATCAAGAATTCTTCAAATACGTGTTGGTTTGAACAAGCAAAGAAGATAAGCTTATCGGTTCATTTTGAAACAATGTAGTGCTGTAGTTACATTATAGAAATCTTGTATACTTTAACAATAGATGAAGAACTATCTAAATTATTTTAATTTTATTACTAGTTCTGTTGTCAACTACTTCAACTAAGGTAAATACTTGCATAAAGAGTGGATTCACGACGGTATCGAATGAGGTCGAATCCGCAATCAGCTGATGATCAGAGAAACCATACCTCAATAATTATCTGCATATTTAAAAATTAGAAATAAGATACACAGGTTGACAATCTAGTACGGTCATACACCGTATAGACAATATTGAAATTTATTCCCAATCCACAAATTCACACTGAAAATCATTTTCACTCTTGCTTACTTATTTAAAAAATTCGTTAAGAATGAGTGAACGCAACAGTTGCGTAAATTATATATTTTTAATCTACAGCTCTATGATGAATTGTCATACATTTTAAACATTATATAATATTTAAATAATAACAATAGACACAAAATTCTGTAAAACAGTACCTTCTTGTTTTTGAAGTCGGTTGGAAAGATTAGTAGCAGTTACTGAGCAAGTTTTTGTAGTTTGTATCTATTATTTTATTTAAAAAAATAAAGTTCTATAAATGAAAGTTTTATTATTTATACTTTACTCCAGTTCTTTGTTTTTCTTAAACTATGGCCTTATCTGTGCATTCGTCTTATTAAATCTTCCGTCCAATTATACAGTAAAATAAAACAAACAAAATTATTCTCCTAAAAATGTAATAATTTAAATTCTTCGGCTTCTTCAAAACTTGAGGCATTTTCTAATGAAGACTTTCATTCCGCTCATTGTAATCACGCTCGTAGCTATAGCGTAGCCGAGGCGTAGCCCTTCTACAACTCTACGAGAAGCAATTAACACGTGTTTCTAATTTGTACAAATTAATTCAGGCTGGGCTGTAAGAGACATTTATTTGCCATGATTAGCAGACAATTCATAATATAAACATAGCTCTTTAGTTTAAATAAAATAATCTATAGAGAACTATCAAGATTTTATATAAATAAATATGCTCGAAGAACGAAGATTTCTATTAACGATATATTAATTGCAGTGTTTATGTGAATATTCCTGTAACAACTCAATATTTCCAAATCCAAATCTTAATACTCTCATGTAATTTGTTTATATAATTTATTAATTTGTATATTCTATATCGAACTCTTTACTAAAATATTTAGAAGGTAATTTCATGATGAAAAGTGAAAACCAATAAGGCTTAGACATTTATCACATTGTTCACGTGAATAATTTTTCGTGTCAATTTTTTTTTTTCAAAACCTTATGTTGAGTTTCTCCATTGCAAGAAAAACGCACAAAGAGAATGCCCGACTACGTCACACAATCCTCCATGGATTATATATATAACTGAACTAACAAGTAAGAATTATTTTATATTATTTATCTTACGTCTTGATCTAATGACTTCTTGGGCTATCACAATTAAACTACACATGAATTGCCGCAGTTATCATTAACAGATAGCAACCGTACCAAAAAGTATCAGAAAATTTGCCATTTTCTGATACTTTTTGATATGAATGAAAAATGTTTTTATTTCTCCTGTATTCGAATTAAGTCCAGTTTAATATTATATAATATATAATATTCTACCACACACACGCCACACGGCAGCACGGGTGGCGTAGTGGTTTAAGCGGTCGCCACGCCACTCACTACTACGCTGGTGGGTCCGATCCCCACATGGGACACTTAGTGCGATCCACAAATTGTTGTTCTGAGTCTAGGTGTCCTTTGTATCCGTTTCATGTATGTTTGTAAAGTCCCCCGCGAAACAGGATTTACGCCTAGTGCGGGAGTTGCCATTTAAAAAAAAAAAAGAAAAAAAAACGTTCACTCAACGCCATCTAGTCCCAAACTAAGCTGAGCTTGTATTATGGCTACTAGGCAACTGATATACATATCTATGCGGCCTTTGGAATAGCAGTCAATTACACAAACCACTACGCCATCCGGTCGTCGCAGTTCAATCCGTTATGTCGTGATGCGAATGTAAATAAAAAGTTTTGCATAAAATCCCTCAGGCAACGTAATAAGGCAATTTAATCGAGAAATTGTAAAAAAATATTCAGAATTCCATTTTTTTATTGTATAGGACAAACGATACGATAACGAATGAACTGATGGTAAGTGGCTAGTGCCGCCCATGGACACCTAACACCAACTCAAGAGTAACAAGTGCGCCACCTTTAATTTAATATATCCTGAATTTTCACTTTTAACTCCCCATCTGAGTGATAACGGATTAAGAATACGGAGTGTCACCACCCCTATTCATCCCATAGATGTAGTAAGAGCCGACGAAGAGAGTAACAGCACTGTAAAGAGAAGGAAAATTTGAAACCAACCCGATAACACCCCGTCTAGCCAGCATGGCATACTAGGTCAAAACCTCCTTTCTATGGAGAGGTCTACGTCCAGCAGTGGACTACTAAAGGATGTTGATGATGATGACTGATGAATTCCTAAAGTGCCCACTCGACGGCGATAGGCTTGCCCCTATGACAAAAGTGGGACTCGAATTTATCACGGCGAAGTTATCTCTATTAGCTTTAACAGTAATAGTCGCCTTACTTATTACTTGCACCCTGAAAATTTCGTACAAAATACTCAATCTTTAGAAAAAAATATACAATAAATACAGTTTACTTGTTTCATAGAGGCAATAGTAAAGTAATGTAATCGTAAAAAGAAAACGGAACTATGGAACCCTTACACCTCGCAGCGCCGATACGCACTTAGCCGGTTTTTATTTTTAATATTCTACTCACGGCTATAATAATTACAATTATAAACTTCGATACTATGTATTAGCAGTACAATCTCTATAAGCGAAGTAATAACTGTTAATTAGACTTTAATTTAAGAAATATTTACTTTCGTACTCCTATCTTCAACAATTACTTTTTTTCATTTATTATATATTATATTCTTGTCAAGAGATGATTTTTAAGAGGTATAAATTATTATTGAGTTACTTAACATTATCAACTTTTAAAAAGCATCACTGACTTCAACAGGCATACTTTAATGGGGCCAAACGGGAAGAATACCCTTCCAAATATAATTATACAGGCTCTGCCTAGTTTCAAATCTGACGGCCGTGTGTGAGATGTGTGAAATATATTTAAAAAAAAAATAATGAGGAAGGTATAGAAAACTCATTTGCATTTTTTTTTCAAAACCTATTGGAATTATTCAAAGAGTAATTGCAGGAAATGTTAAATAAATAAGTGATATACATATATATTCATTGACGAAAACTAATAAATTCGACAGCACTTAACTCCATAGCTTTCAATTCATTTTGTGACATAATTCTATAAACATACGTCACTGGGTCAAGGTCTCGAACACATAGACCCAGGGGCAGTAAGTACATTCATATATGCGAGTGACACGACATATACTAACAAATATAAAGTTATATGAAGATACTCGCGTACTCTCACTTAGAGTGTAATTAATTGTGTTCACACCCTGTAGGCGCGCAGGGTTGCCACATTATTAAAAAAAGAACTTTGAACACCTTGAACCTTGTATAATTCTGGACCGTAACAAATAGTGTGTGTTGAGCTATTAAACAGTGACACCATATACACATTACAATTAGTCTGCCCTACTACTATTTAGGCGTCCGAAACTTTATATGTATTTGATTACGACTTTTGTACTATGTATATACGATAATTAAATTTAATAGCTAAAAGAAGCAGTCATACAATAGCTTAAAGAAAAGAACGAATGGAAAGTTAAACGCCTATGTTATAAAAATCTATAAAAACATATACGTCTATTCGACACCCCTGCAATTCAGTTACAGTGCGTCAATTCCAAAATTTATTAAAATTCAGATGGCATATGTAACATGTTCGCATCCACTTAATAATACAGAAATACCCATATTTACTTATGGTATTAACATTCCGTTGTTCATAAATAGAAAACATTAACAATGGAAGAACATAATTAAAGTTACGTCACGGTGAGCTTATATCACACAAATTTTTGAAAATTGATAGCGTTTTGGAAATTTAGAAATCTCATCACGGTCGGGTTTAGACCTGCAACTGGCCCTATACTGGAAAATTAATAAAATATTTTAAATCAAAATTATTTAAAGAGTAATTTATTATCCAATATATACTTAAGCGTAAACGTTAAGCAAGACTATTATTCATTTGATTCTTCCCAGAACATCATATGTAACAAATATTGAAAGTCGAATAGCTGTTATGAGACCACATTTCGAGGTATACCCAAACAATCTCTCATATCATCTCCCGCTCCAGCAGACATAGAACAGACACAGCTGCGATATATACATAGGTCACAACTCAAGAGGTACACTCGAATGTCTGCGACATGCGAGCATCATTCCGGGAGTTACGCATTACGTCACTCCAGCCGCACACAATCTCAGTAAGCCTATTGTTTTACTACAAGTTGAAAATAGGGATTTTATAAGATTTTACATTTAAATTTTTATTTTCCTATC